CAAGCAATGAATATTTGAGGCCACAACCCAGAACTTTTTTTTTATACTACTGAGGTGGCAAACAAGCATGCGGCCCACCTGATGGTAAGCGGTTTCCGTAGCCTATGAACGCCTGCAATACCAGAGGCATTACGCGCGCGTTGCCGACCCTGAAGAAACCTCTTTACCCCCCTTTTGATAAACCCCATGCTACAGTCATCTCATCCAACCATGATTTAGAAAAGTCGGTAATAAATGTATTCTTTAGAAGTGATATTGTATTTATATGCTTAGATATTATGTTTATTATCAACTATTTGTAAGTGTAACTGTTTATCTACAATAAATAAAAATGTTTTTCATCGCACTTTTCTATTTTGTCCAAAGTTGGCTAGGAGAGAATTTATATAGCATTAAGTCCGCATTTTGTACCAAAAATTTTTTATAATGTAGTCAATAAAAAATTAACAAATAATTGTAATAGCAATTTCTATCAATCTTCCACTAATAATATACAGCTGCACTATCCCACACTTATCTTTCCCATGATAATTCCCACGGAAAAGGGAGTTAACCTTGCGGCAAATAACTATGTAGTACTTATGTAATTATAAAAGAAAAGGTAGCAAATCCAACAAAGAATATTAAGGTACCTACATATTTGCTAATGTTAATAGTTATACTTCAGTATATAGGTGCTAATCATTTTCTAACATTGTTCACCCATATTCGACCCATATTCCGGTTTACAAATAATCCGTTTTTAGACGGCGATCGAGTATACAATCGTTACTCATACCATACCACTGGTTCCTTCTAGTTACCAGCTCGTTTGAACTACGAATTATAAACAATTGAAATATATGAGGTAAACCAACTGAAAATCATAAGAAGTTTAGTTACGTTTGTTTATTCTTAAGGTTACAGCATAACAGGGTTTTAAACAGGTGGTTACGTGCCAACCAGTAAGAAATTCACAGAACAGTTGAACACCTAAAATAAATGTTTTATAGCATATAAATGTACAGAGATGTCGATACAGTGTCGAAGGTTGGAGGACTAGTTAATTATTACCCAACGTAAATGAATGTGATAAAAACGAACGTATTAGTCACGGTATTAATATTAGAACTGTCGTTGATTCGCTCTGCTCAACAAACGCTTAACCGCCGTGGCGGAATGATTAATCTTTTTAATTTGATAATTAATTATTTTAGAATCAGGCTTTCTGAATATAGTAGACAAGTAAACTGTTACTAATACTGTACGTAGATGTTTAAGAAATAAATATATGAAGGGCATAGGAGCAATAAAAAGAAGCCAAAACAAGAATTTTTAGAATTTTTATTTGTATGTTTGTTCTGGCATTACGCAAAAGTTACTGTTCCAAAATTTATGCATAGTTGTGTTATTTGAAGGTCTAACTTAAAATAGGCGTATGTTTTGTCTTGATACATTGTCTAGAAATGATTACTAACAACCAAAATTCATGCGTACGAAGTTGCAGGCAAATGCTAATAGTACATAATACAACTTCAAAAAACCGTTAGCATATAAAGGATAGATATTGTTTTATATTGAATATATTGCATATAGAATATACAACTATGCTATCGAATCTAAAATACTCCATTGTCCAGTTTGATTTATTATAGTCGGTGCCAGTAGCTAAGTTAGTATTGGTGACTGTAAAATTATGAATATTTTGATCAAAGCCAAAGTTTCAGGTTTCGTTTGCCATGTATTGCAATAAATTTTCAAGTATGAAAATATTAACCGACCGTCTACTAAACGATTATGCAACTGAAACTATAAAGCCCAGAAACAGTAGCACATTTATAATAATTGCAGAAACGTGCCTTACAAATATATTTGTACACATACCTAATCTTGTCTGTTTACATTTGAGTCCTGAGTGGTTACATATTTCATTTACACTATTATGAAGCATAAAATTTAATAAAAAAGTCTTTGTACACTATTTACTTCTTGTATTTTACTAGCTGCCAGCACCGGCTTCGTGCTGATGTACATTTTTTCATTCGATCTTTTAAACATTTTCTTTCAAACTAAATAGCGATATGCATGCATATGCATATACAAATTTTATATATAGGTGCATCCTTTCTAGTGTGACGCATATATTAGATTTTTATTCATATAGATAAATTTACTAAAATCTGCTATGAAACGAAAATCAAAACGTCGTACAAACAAGTATTCTGCTATTTTGGTGAATCCAACATTTTGAGTAGCATCGAATATAAATATCTATAAGTGTATCAGACAATGGTCAATAACGATGATTTGATTGCTTATGACATGACATCACGCGAATCTAATGGTGAATTCACGGTCATTATTACCGGTAGCATCTATTCTGTTATTACTGAGGCAGTGGAAGCATGCAATGTAGCTACTTTGGGCTACAATTCTACGTAAGTACCTAGGTATCTACTTTGAAGCTGTTTTTATCTTGATCGCTTTGAACTTGTCAAAGATTAGTTCAGAGCACTTGACGTGAAGGTTACAGTAAGTGGACGTTTATCTGAATTGTAAGATGTTCTTATCTATAACTAGAATGCTAAATAAATAAATGATGTACCTAAAAGTGAAGTTTATGTCGATGCAGTAGCTTGATAGAGAAATCTGCACTTGATATACAGAGAATGTATGAAACTAGTAGATTTTTTAAACTGTTAAAGTATATATTTTATCTGTTACCAGTGAAGGATAAGGAAAGTTAATATGTAAATGGTATAAAATATTTTAAATATCACAAATGCCATTTGTGATTTTCTTAATTCCGTTTAGGTTCTGATGATAAAGGTAAACGTCAGAGCACTGATAAATAGATGGTCATGACGTTTTTTTGGTAACACGACGTTATCAATCACTCCAGGTCATAAGTCAAGTCAAAGGCCTTTGTCATATTAAAGGTATAGTTAGGCGAATCGAGCGAATACTCGTTCTAACTTTTCCAATGTTATTAGTTTAACATGCAAGAATATTCTAAAAGCAAACTTTTTATTTCTTTATTACATTTTGCAAAGAACTCTGTATATTGCTTTAGTAATCTAATTCCACATTTAAAAAACATTGCTTTGAAAACGACAGTATCAGTCACTACAGAATAACATATAAAGGTTTCCACAATTTTCCAAAGCATTCATGTACCATTCTTTTAAATGCAGTAAGGTTTTGATCGTCCTTTGCTATACGAGGTCTGTCCGGAAAGTTCGTATAAAAGTGTTCTGGAATGCGAGAAAGAGGAGTGGGGAGGCCAGGTAAGCGCAGGACCCCTTCCTTATGTCCCTAACAATGCTTCAGTTCTGGTCTGACCGCCGTGCGGTGCGAACTGGCTTGTCACGCCATCTGTGAAGTTACCTCTTAACGAAACCCCGTCGGCATGGAGCCCGCTTCCGTTGAAGAGCAGCGCGTCGTAATCAAGTTTCTCTCGAAACTCGGCAAGAATGGCCGTGAAATTTTTGCCGATCTCAGAACAGTTTATGGGGATGATGCTGTGAAGGAACCAACCGTCCACAAGTGGCTAAAAAGATTCAGAGAGGGCCGAGACAATGTTGATTGTTTTTTTCGATGTTCGGGGGATTGTCCATCAAGAATTCGTCCCTCCAGGCCAGACAGTTGATGGAAAATTCTACGTCGATGTGCTCAGACGCCTCAAAGCTCGTGTGGCACGAGTTCGTCCAGAATTGGCGCGAGAGGGGCGTTGGATTCTTCACCACGACAATGCCCCTGCCCACACCTCTCTTGTTGTCCGTGAGTTTTTGAGTAAAAATTCCATTACGGTGACCGAACACCCCCCTATTCGCCGGATTTGGCCCCGTGTGACTTCTTCTTGTTCCCAAAAACCAAATTGGTACTTCGGGGGCGGCATTTGGGGGACATAAATGAGATAAAAAAAGCTACGACGGGGCAGCTGAGAAACCTACAACCAGAGGACTTTCAAGGAGCCTTCTCACAGTGGAAACGGCGTTGGCACAAGTGCATTATGTCACAGGGGGAGTACTTTGAAGGGGATAAAATTGATTTACCTGAATAATTGTAAAATAAAATTTTTAAAAAACTTTTATACGTACTTTCCGGACAAACCTCGTATTAACCACATTACAATAACTGTGTCTTCGAACACAAATTATTTATGTAATTCTTTTACTGCAATTTATTTTCCTTTCACACCCAAAATAACATCTTTGTCAAATTTTAAAAATAATAATATACGTAAAAAATAAAGATCAGAAAATTTAATTTTATCATAAAGTTGTTTCCATATTACAATTTAGTTTCTTCTGGAACGTACGAGTTGCAATATTTTAATGTTTATTTCTATTTAAAAAGTTGTCAGTACACATCAAAACCAGGAAGTGGTTAGAAGAGAGCTAGCTAATGATACTAAAGACACTCGTAAGGATGGTGTTTTTATTTCCATTTACGATTTGGACGCACATTTAGATTAAGACACTATATCCAATTTGAATAAAGTTTTTGAATATCACAAGGTAAAATTATCTTATGGAAATAAAAAAGTAGACTAAGGACTACCTAAATCGTGTTTAAATTTAAACACACCTGAGACCGGTTGCGATAATACATAAGTGTTCTATTAAGGACACCTGCTTGACGAAAACTGCAAGCAGCAAGATCAATTTGTAAGATAAAACATGAACCTAGCAAGTTCAATACAGGGCCACTATGGTCACAGTAATGTTAATTTTGTCAGTTAATCTTAAGCGTTTCACCCATATTGGTAAGCATTAGTCAAATGCTTAAAATTCAAACAATATCTCCAAACGTACGGAGAAAATTTCCAAACGAGCGTTTAATTCAACCGAACCTCGACAAACGTAGGTCGAAGCGATCGCCGCACAGCTATCATTCCAATGCAATTAAACTATTGCATTACATTATTATTATTACTCACGTATGGCGCAGTAATAAACTTTGCTAACTACACCTGTGGGTTTTCAATTTGTATATGTCGTATAAAAGTTTGAACGCACCAGTTAATACTGTTTGCCGCGTACTCTTTTCTCTTGTTTGCACTACACGTTTGGCGCGATGAACGCGCAAGGACTGACTAGTTTACCGCGGTTGGCCATGTTGGTGCCTCCGAGCATGTGACCGTGCCCAACTTCGTGATATGATCATTAAAGCGTTCATTGAGTTGGTTAAGCCTTTATTGGTTAAATATTTGTTTCTAATTTAATATCTTTAAACAGTTGTTAGTTTATCATAGTTTGGTTAAAATAGATAGATGTCTAGTTCTAGATATCTTAAGTTTATAACATTATAAAGTACTGCTATTATAATTAAGATGTACCTAAGTTCAAACAATATATAATTTGCATCAATGGAATTCACTGAAATGAACAAACAAAAAAAAAATATATTAACTTAAGTAGGTTGGTACATACAAGTAAATAGCAAGTTTACAAACTAGGGATGAATGTGAAATTATTTTATGGATTAATAATTATTACGGAGGTAGATATTGCTAATGAAATGTTTTAAAAATATAAGAATAAACTATAACCATTCTAATAAGAAGCTAAATAAGTAAATATTTTAAAGTAAATAAGACATAAAATAAAAAAAAAGATACTCACAGATAAATAAAAAAGTCGTCCGTAAAGAAAAAACCGCACCAACTGGCCGAATGTATGACAAGTTATTCCATCCGGTATCAGCTGATGATAAGGAAGATGAACATCTCGTGATCCGCCCGTACAGTTGGTAGCACTGACTCCCGCGCAGCCTCCGCGGCCTCGCGTCTGCGCCTACTCATCGCTATGTATGTAAACATTATAATCATACGTAAATTGGCATCTATTCGTTTCGGACGTACATTCAAGTAAGAACGATCACCGAACGCGTAAATTTACTATTATTGGCGTAACTTTATTTCATAATATTATGACCATAATTATATTTTAAAAACTTAATAGGTTTTCGTTTTTGTAAAACAATTGACTCTCTTTTATTTTTATGACTGCTAGAATAATTTGCTGCTTATTTTTGCAACGAGAAGTGATTAAAAACTTCGTTATTGAATGTTTTCAAAACACCTTTTGTATTCTCTCATACACTCACCAATTCAATTCATACATATTTTTTAATAAGTTCATAATATCTGTAACTTTTATCATCAGTATTATTGACAATATGACTATAAAACACGGTATTTGTCAGGAACACCAAAATTAAGGTAGTGTCTAAATTTAAAATTACAGGCAGATTCGAATTATTAATAATATACGTACATACAATCAACACTGAAACCTGTAATTGTGATCTTACCAGTGTCTTTAGCAATTTTTTACACAAAATGATATTTACGACACTTACAACATGCTTAATTATAATTATTTTTGTTGCGTAGGTAGTTATAAAAGGTTTATTTTTCAAGTCTCACAAAATTATATCTTTACTTTTAAAACTATGTTTATAGCAATAATGTAAAATTTTTATAAAAAAATTTAGTAACGCTTTTAATAAGATTTTGTACTAAAATGTAAAATAATAAAAATTACTTTAAAATATGAACGTTTCATCTGTGACAGATGAAATTTTTTTGCGGTCTAAGTATCATCATTCATCCTTGGTTATTGGAGACTAGGGTACGATGCGAACGGGATACATGGTACGCGGGTGTATGTGGTTATTGTTTAAAATGTTTTATGGTTGGATTTATTTTAGATTCTAGAGGGGTAGATTAATTGTTATCGTATTGTAATGTTAGAATTGTTAAAGTAGATATAATGCCTATCCTATAATAATCATAGACGTATATAGGTGCGGGCCAAATGCGCCGTGCTCACCCCAGAACTGTCTAATAATCCCAGGACCAGGAGCACAACTTTTGGTTATGGAAAAATACTAAAAAATTTAAGAGTGCACACACACATATGCGTCTATTTTAAGGGACTAGGCCATTCTTGGAAAATAATCTTAAATACATCAAGGATAATGTTAACTTCTTTTTCACTGGTTAGTTAATTCTACTATTATTAGTAGTAGTATGTTAACCATCGTATACTAATGGTAGCGGAATTAAACAAAATAATTTTCTCGACTAGCCAGTCATATGGGCTTCCGCAAAATAACATCTAGTTTAGTAAAAAAAAAACCTTTTCCATTTATGTAATTACACTATATTTATGTATGCTATCAAACTTAAAAAATAAATTTAAACAAAATGACATACCATAATAATAACAATATCTCCATCACAATTTATTTTTTAAAAACCGCACAAAAAATATGTAAACAAGTAGATATAACAAATAATCTCTTACATTAAATAAGTTTAATTTATAATTTAACATCTTATTAATTTTCTCAAAATTATATTGAAAATAAAGTAGTACTTACTAAAATAGTACTTAGAATGGTACAATAATTTTTTGTTCTAAAAATAAAAAATGTACAGTTAAGCAAAAATATTGTAGTTTCATGTTCAATTACAAAGCACAAATGTGAAAAAAAAACCGAAAATGTAATTTTACAAGAACCAAGCAATGTGTAGTCTACACATTGTTTGGTTCTTGTAAAATAAAATTATACACAGGCTTGGCACACTTGGCACAGTTATTCGATTATACTTAAAAGTAGATTCCAGCTCATGTTCAAACTATGTAAAATTATAATAACTATTCTTATTATTAGATATATCACCTTTTAATCGTCTCTATTTCAGAAAACTAAGTACGTATGTATGTGTACGTATGTACGTGTGTGTAAAATAAAGTTATTAAATAACAAGATAGGTAAGGTAAGGTTTTTAAATGAAGCGATTTTGCTTCCATTTTTGTCGTGGTCAGAAGGGACAACATCCAAAATTGCCCAGGTGGGCTAAGTTAAGGCTAGACTTGCAATAATTTATGATATACCTAATAAGTAAATCGCCGAACAATTAAGTCTGAGTACGCATCAGGTAATCGTTACTGGACGGATTCTGCTGATGCTTGACAGCAAATTGTTGTCCTGAAATATAAGCTTGCTAACTACTAAGGAGTTTAAGGGTTAAGGCCTATAAGAAGGCCTTTTGCCTCTGTTACAAAATCATCGGTAGGGCTGTTTGAAACTATTAGTAAGTTACGTAATGAGGCAATTTTGTTATTATGAGATTATTTATTGTTATTTAAAAATCAAGTCACGTAATTGCTCATTAATAAAACTGTATGCCCCTACATATCTTACTAAATACATTATAAATAAAAAGCACTTCATTTCCGAAAAAAAAAATATACAAAGACATGGGCAAAGCAGGCACACCAAGTACAGTGATAAGTTTATTGTTATGATCAGTTTTTTTTCTCTTACAAAATCTTTAATATCTATCTACGTTACCATATTCAACTATTTTTTAATTTAACCTTTACTTAAAAAAAAATATTTTAAGTATTAATTATTATTTATATGTATAGCTACCAAAAATAGTTATTGATTAACGTTCTACCCTGATGTCTAAGCTAAAATAATTTTATTCTATGCCAATGAATAGGTAAATGTTTTAATTGAACGCATTTGTCACTAAATGACAAATCAGTTATTTAAAAAAATATATAAAAAAGTACGCTAACTAGAGATAAATAGAGAAAAGGCAAAAAGTTTGAAGTATATATTTAAAATTACATACAAAAAAAAAACATAACGTATCAGCCCTCTTTCAAATATAATTTACAAATAAGTTATAATAATTCATTAATAGCGTTATATGTACATTGTGTGCAAGGAATTAAAGAGAGACATAAATAATACTTATAAATAAATAACTCAAGTAGACACAAAGAATTTGTCTATCAAAATATATTTAATGCCTGTTTGACGTAATGTATGAGTATGTAAAAAATATATATTACAACTGAATGGTGCTTAAACTAAGATATTTCAACAACTAAACATAAACATGTTGGAACAAATGGAACAAAATGTTGGAAGATACAACAAATGTATATAATAATCAATAATTATTTTATAATTTAGAATTCAAATTATTAACTACTTGGTTTTATCCACGTATTCGTCTGAGTGATCGAAATTTGTTCATTGACCTGCATAAAAAGTAGCCTATATACTTCTCCATCCCATGTAGTAACGTGTATACCAAATTTCGTAATGATTAATTAAGCTGTTAAGGCGCTGAGATAACAAACTCACTTTCACATAAATTATTTAACATTATTGCTTGGTTTGTCTTCTTTCTCTCTCTCTCTCTCTTCTAAGTAATGCGTAGTTAAGTCTTCCTCAGTCAACCTATTGCTGCCATTAAGCAACAATGCAAGTCGTATTCAGTTCTGAAGAATAAAGGTAGCGTAAACGAGACACATTTTCCCGTGAAGGATTGAAATGAATTAGTAAGCACAGAAATGGATCTCGACGAGACAAATTGGAAAATATGTAAATTCATCACAAGAATCATTTTATAAAACAAATAGTTAAAATTCTTTAACAATGACTATATACGTTTATTTATTATTTTATACTATTATATACTATTGTACATACCAATGAGTTATTTTATACTACTATAGTATTGTAACCTCCCCAAGTGGGAGGCTTATGTTCAACAGTGGGCAGTTAAAGGTATGATGATATGATGATGATGATGATGATGATGATGAAGAAAAATGATACTGTGTCATGTGGTTTTGGAATATTTCACGTGTCTCAAATGAAATTTCATCTGCTACGCCAAGTCATACGTCAATCCAGCTACGTCACACCATGAAAAGTGCTACGAATCACTCTAAATAAAATCGCAAATTCGGATTTATACGTGAGAGACTGGGACATGCAGAGCGAGTGAATAGAGACTTTATCATACTGCATTAAAGTATCTATTCGGCTCCTTTACATCAAAAATATAATTCATACATTACTTTCAATTACAAATACTAGCGAGGGTAGCATTACATCATTGTGAGCGCTTATTTTGCGATTTTTTCTGAATTGTCACTAAATTTTATCATGTGAAATAAAATAATAATCTTACTAAATGATAATTAATTAAATGTAGCAATATTTTCCAAGCCTAGTATCATGTCTATATTCTTCTCACGTATCGCATTGGTATTAATAAACTCGTTAAAGTTAAGAAAACTTATTTCATTCAAAACGATAGTTACAAAAGTGACAATGTCACTTCTTAATAAATACAAAGAACATACGACAGTAGCCTGAGAATCAGGGCCAACATATAGTCAAAGTTTAAATAAATTTCAAGACACATTAGTTAAGGAGGAAAATCATACTTTGTATGCCTAAAACAAATCCATTCCTGTGGCGTTACCAACGTATCAATGATTCAAAACGTTTACCTCGCGGAAAACCCGACCACCAAATTAAAAAGTGTAAAGCAAAAAATAGGTACAAATTTTTACTGCAGAACGTTGTCGACATTACTCGATGACGGTACATTAAAAAGCATAAACATTCAACACAAAAATGTTCCAACAAAATCTGAAGATAAAATAGACTAAAATGCAATTGAATTCGGAAATGTTGAATGACAAGCGCTTAATTAAAAAATAAACTTATTGTAATATATAGTCTAAATAACGTATCCTTAAAAAGACAATAAATTTATACTCACTGAAAAAAATTATGGATACGAATTTTTAATGAATCAATTTTTTTATGCAACTTAGAATGGCAAACAAGCTAACGGGCCACCTGATGGAAAGTGGTAACCGTCGCCTATAGGCATGAGCAGTACCATGGACATAACAGAGTATACTGTTTCCCCAGTTGTTTGTTGTTTATGCATTGCCATTCCTGAGGACTCGGGTGTTATTCCTCTGTACCTTGTAAATTCACTGTTTGTTACCTTATTCCACCCTTCAAACCGAACCAAGCAAATCCAGTGGAGGTCAATCTGACAGGGTATATAGCTAGCAATAGAAATTTCGACCACATTACTAACAAACCTTTTTCCCCCATCGAGGCTATCAACTTGCAATTTGTTTAAACAGCTTATCACCATCAATATATTCACACTGTCAATAAGATACATACAGAACCCAGTGGTACAATTTCGATTATAAAAATAGAACATTTAAAATTACTTGCGATCAAGTTAGTTTAATTGAATATTACTTCTATTCTATGATTAGAGATTGTAAACTTTTATTACATTACATTATAAGCAACTATATTACCTTTTTCTTTCAATAGATATACTATATTATGATCATATGCTATTTGGAACACTTGAACATTGACATTTGTATGACAAGGTCAACATTAAATGAGTAGGTAATAAGATACTTCCGACAACAATAGATTGGGGTCGATCTAAAATGTATTTTGTATGTGGCTATCTTCATTGCAAAGTAAAAACTTTTGTATCTCTTTTTTTTTTAAATATACAATTGTATATTAATACGTTAATAGCTGTTTTATAGGAACAAATCATATAAACACTGTAGACGGCATTTATTATCTTTTTATATGTACTATTCCATTCAATTAAGTTGTCAGTTTTCCAAACAAATCTCAATGTGTCGTGTTATAACTTGGTCCATATATTAAGTTATGGGCCCAGTTATATGGAAGAAACGAAAGAGGTTTGTTTGAATCGAAGCATTTGGCGTTCCATTGTTTGTTTCCTTCCCATTAAGGTAATGGGAGACAGGCGTAACAGATATGTATGGGGGATCCAATTTTTTTTGGGTCCATAAAAATTTTTGTAGAATAATACAACACATATTAAACATAATGATGTTTAAAAAATATACAAAAATGACGTCGAATTATATTGCGAGCACATTGAAACTTAAAAAGCATGAGAGCTTCAGTGAGTGTACTTGCATCACGGAGAATTTCCTAGTTTTGAAGTCAATACTGGCATGCATCAAACCAGAATTTAGTCAAACCGAAACTGCAGAAGACACGAAAATTAAAGCAAAGTTGATACTGTCCATTGATTTATCGTTAGGTATATGTTCATATCAAAGATGTAAATACAAATTCGTACATACGAATTATGGGAGAAGCTAAAAAATCACTCAACAACGGAAAATCATGAGAAAACTATGAGTACCCTAGAATTGTGTCTGGTGCGCCTATATATATGCGCCTTTTCAAAGAGTACAGACCCCCCCCCCTCTCGCTGCAAAATAATCTTAAATACGTCAATGTTTGCCTCTTCTTACAACTCACGTTTCATCCACTTTCATAATATATACTCGAATAAATAATACTCATAAACATACTTACATACATATCTACTGATTCAGTAAACTCTTGTAACTCTATATTAGTACACTGATGATTTATTAAAGTATCCTAAAAAAAGGGAAACATAATTGTAATAGCTACACTTATTGTTAAAGCTAATTGCACCGAGTCAATAAGGCAGGTTACGAATTTATAGGTATCTGTGACCATGCAACAATGGTAAATAATTTATTAACTAGTCAATTATTAATTTTTTTTTTTATTATTATGGTAAGTACTGATCTATCGATTTTCGATAGTTCTTCATTGTTATTTAATATTTCAAAATATGTTCTACAGACATATAAAAAAATTATAACACAGATAATAAGGAATACTAAACCATAGATAGCACAGATAATGGACAAATACTAGACCATAAACAATGAAGCATGCGCAATCGACTTTGTTCACATATTATTGTTACTGCACAAGTTCTGTGATATTAAAATATATTAAATTTTCAAGTTATTGTTAATTTTTATAAAATAAATTAGAAATAATTATGTTTATAGCGTTTATAATAGAACGTAGTAATAAAAAACGTAAACTAAAAATTCGGTCATAATATAACCACTGTAAATATTGTTATATGACAATGCTAATTAAAAGCATTAATACCGTATATATAAAAATATAATAATTATAAATAGTAATTCTAAATACTAATTTATCAATAAATTAATCAAAATTTAGAAAAAAAAATAGGTTTAATTTAATTACAAAGATTAAAATATATCTTACAGTAATAAAATAACAATAAAAAAATTACTTCACATATAATTTTCATTATAATAACTTTTTAGGAACATATTATTTATTCGCTCATCAAAATAAAGAATGACACAGATATGTTTGGTTCTTAAAATATTTGTTATGAAAAATAAGAGAAGAAACATCAATGGGCATAAACTAAAACATATTACAGGCATTTTTTAAAATTGACCAGTAAGAATCAAACCAAATACCTAATTTACACAAACATATTTACCCCTGTCATGAAATTGTATACGACTTATATTAGTAGTCGTAGTTACAGTATTATTCAATGTAAGTTGCATCCCTTGAACCCTAGAACATAGCTTCGTTAAAACAATAAACATTTTCTATCATAAAAATGCAAATAAATAATTGCATTGCACTATAAATGTAATTTTGTTCAAAACATGATCAGTAAGTCACAGAAGATCACAATATATTTTATTGGAATATATTTACTACAGTCTATTTGGCAATTAAATTACGTTATTAACTAAACAGAATGATAACAATAAATTATAACATTAACATTATGAATGAGATTTATTTTGGTCATAATCTTACGAGAAGAAGGAGAACAAACTCCTGTAATGAGGCACGATAAGTTTTAAGTCGTCCATTACATGAATGCGTCCTTCATTCCATCAGTCTGGAATTATAAATATTTGACGGAATTAAACGATCGGCGTCACATATATATTAATAATTTCATTACTGGATCAGTTTTCGTTTCAGGCGAAACTGATAGCAAAATATCGTCTATTGGGCGCCTAAATGTCCATTTTCATTCGCCTGAAAAAATAATACTTGTTAGGAAAATTGTCAAGAACAAGAAGAATAGACCATCAGTATTTTGAAACTTCTCGTAACTTGACTTACGTTATTTGTGTAACGTGACTACATCTAATAAGCTGATTAGCATAATAAGAATGTGGTTTTTTTCTTAGGTAAAATTTTCTTAAATAATCTATTAATTATGAAAATAAATGTATGCAATGAAAAAATATAGATATGCAAAGTTATTACAGATAATTATTATAATATGCGAGCAGACAAAAAAAAAAACATTAAAAACTTTTTGGTGCATAATTAAATATTTTGTAAATAACAAAAGAAAATACAAGGTATACTTGTATATAATTACTTACTTATCAAATGAGGGACCCTCATTGACCATAATATTACGTGACTACATTTAATTTTCACAAATTCGGAGCCATCAAATGTGTTTGACGTACTGACTAGCTCACCAAATTTTAATTCTTGATTGTCTGTAAAAAGAATTTTTTTTTTAATTAAATGCTTCTACTTTTAACCTGCGAATCAGTCTGTGTAGCTGGTATATATATATATTTTTTTAATGGATGATAATAGAATGGTAATGGCCTGCGCCACCGGTATACACTGCCGGGGCACCAGTGAGGTGAAAATGAAGCAGGCTAGTTATCCCCATCGTGATTCACTAATGAATCAATCACGATGGTTTCCAAGGGGAACCGCGGGGAGGTCGACCTGTGAGGGTATATTGCTAACAATAGGGTTGCTGATTCCCATTACTAACAATCCCTTTTCCCCTCGGTATATGTCGAGGATAAATAATAGCCTATGTCGTTTTGCATTCCAAATAGTACGTTTATAGCTAATTACGTCGTTGAAGGGGGAGGGAATGGAAGGATTGTTAGTAACACGGAATACCAGTCCTATTGCTAGCAATATATCCTGGCAGTTCGACCTCCACTTGATCCCCCCTGGAAACCATCGTGCTGAATTCCAGGTGTATTCACCATGATGGGCCAACTGACCTGCTTTTTCATTCTCACCTGTCATCCCTCACTGGTGCCCTGCGAGCGTATATCGTTAGCGTAGGCGGGGTTACAATTACATTATTACCAATAAAAAAAATTGAGTTGTTGAACTAAGAAGTAACAAACAAACAAACCCACTTTTGCTTTTATAATATTAGTAAAGATTATCAGCATCATTACTGAACTCAAATAACACTAAAGTAAGTGGTAATAAAAATTAGTCAAACATAAGTAATAAACATTCACCTAAGTTCCATTTCAGTCCGCTGGTCGTGACGCTTTCGCATGGTGTTCCTATTGGAACTAGTGAGCACCATGCTCTTCTATGTTGCCTTGTCTCCTCAGGCACGCTGATCACGTGGTCCCCGGGTGACAGAAGCCACGATATTGAATCATCTGACAATATATACACCGTTGTGTTTGGATTGAGCAAATTATCCACTTTAACGAGATGCAACGTTTGTATGTTGGCTAGGATGTGATCTAGTCTACCTGAGTTCTGACAGACGGCTATGACATGGTCCAGCTGCAGGATTAAAAAAAAAACTATTACAACACCTTAAAAATATATATATAAAATAATATTCATGAATGTAATCCCATTTGGATGAAAGGTATTTTGTAGACTAGATACTGTCAGTTTGATCATTCGACTAGTTCCTATTTCACTCGAACTTAGTAGAATATAAATAATAACTATTCTATCAGATTTATTAGGTTTAACATTGTTAACCAATATCCAATCGAAGCCTATTCTGAAATTTAAATTCATACAAATATTTTTTCGTGTCAATTACATTCGAAATAACGACCAATGAAAGCAACTATCTGTTATATTTAAGTTTCTTTTATGAATCTTTAAAATAACTAACCTGCAAGTTTTCTTGTTGACAATGTTTATTTAATTCCATCAATGCTTTAGTAAAATCTGTGTTGTTTTGATCTGGTGTCCTTATTGTCTGAAAATTAGATGAGTTAGGAGAATAAGATAATTATATGTTTTTAGTCTGTTTTTCTGTATGTCACGACTTTTATACAGCCTGTATAAAAGTAGTTGTCGCCATATAGGTGAACGCAATAAACTTATTGTGGCTAATGAAATGTCCTTTTTTTATACCTAAATTTCTTAATTAAAAAAATGCTCACACACTTTAATCCTACTAACGTTAATATGTTCAGATGTTTGTTACTCCGCCATTTTCAAACGGCTGAATGATTTTCAATGAAATTTGGTACACAGGTAGTTCATTATCCCAACTTAACACATATGATACTTTATATACTGATTGACACGGGAAAAACCGCGGTAAACAGCTACTTATTTATTTATTTAAATTGTGATACATAGGTAACAATGGATGGTAAAACAAGATAAGTCCTTTATGATCAACTCCATCTATCGAGGTATACAAATTTGCAATTATATAAGAAAAAACAAAATATATAAAAAAGCTAATAGGTAATATAGGGTTTTTTTTTTATGAGTGAAAATGGTATGGTAACCCCGCCTGCGCTAACGGGATACGCTGGCGGAGCACCAGTGAAGGGTGATAGATGAGAATGAAAACAGGCCAGTTAGCCCATCATGATGAATTCATCAGGAATTAATCATGATAGTTTCCAGGGGGAACCGCGAGGAGGTCGACCTGGTTGGGTATATTGCTAGCAATGGGATTCTCAGTCTCCATTACTAACAATCCCTTTCCGGTAATATAGGGTTGTAAATTAAGAACTTTTAACTTTTTTCATTTCCACGCAATAGATTTTCGTTTTGCCGCGTAACTACCTACTACAGACTGAACTGGAATACCTAGCTGGAATAGACAATTCTTTTCCATAAATTCAGAAATTAAACAGGTTAATAATGGATTTTCGTATAAATTACATCTGATAATCCCCTTTTTGAAAGAAGAAAATTGCCACAAAATAATCTTTATACAAAGTCCCGTGGCCAAAACTGTGGGACGATAAACTTAAAAATTCAAACATACCTTAGTCCCTTTCTTTTTATATTTATTCAATACATCTTCTGTGAGTGAATCAAAATCTCCTGTAACAAAATCTGGAAGTTTCATAGTTTTCTGTACATCTTCTGGTAATTGGTTTAAAAATGTGTCCCAACGTGCTGTACCGCCGTCAACTGCCATTCTAACTGAAGCTGTAGATAAAAATATATTATCAATAATTTTATACACAGAAATAAAGTGAAAGTTATAAAAGTAGATTAAAATACGTGTGTAAGAGAGAAGTCTGGTATTCGATTCCTCAAGCATGAGGTGTTAAATACATTAAACATTTTCTTCTATATACTTTGTTATTTGTATACATTTATTTAAAAGTGGGCTGGCGTCTAGAAGAACGGGACGACATGGTTCTATTAAATCGTTTCGGATGTAATATCTTGTATATTTTCGATTGAACTTCTACATAAGGTAATTTTTTTTAATCATAAATTATACTTCAAATAAATAAATAAATGGCTATAGTTAAAAATGAAAAGTAAGAAATAGGTTATAATTTTCATTGTACAGAATTCCTAAAGAGATTGCGTACTTAATTGGAGCTGCATTTTAGTAGGCATATTTTATTAAATCCAACGTGACGGGGGGCGCGCTTATCACCGTCTCTCGTTAATTCCATCTGTATTTTTCCAATACTAAGACAGTCTTTAGAATTTCATAATTACATTATAAAGAAATAAAAAAATAAATTACTCTGCTGTTCCATCGGTTGATAATAGAATTAATTCTTTTACAATTTGATTAGACCTTGCAATGTGAGATAAAACTTGTAAAATGGTTAGATTAATTAATAATTTTATATGTTTTATCTGAATCTACTATATTGCAGCCACGTGGTCACAACATAGAATTGGCCACTCCTTTCTTTCCCGTGAAAATTTAATGGTCGAGGGATGGGCAGCAGTGTCCCTCTTAAAACATCACTAGGACTTAACTGCGGTTATCAACACGCCTGTCAAGCAAGGCAACAACTAACAAAATCTCGCAAGGAGGAAGCCTATGTTCAGCAGTGGATAGTTAAAGGCTGATATGGTAGTGATGATCTGTCTACCTATATACAACTCTCATACAATTATCTATTTATATAAAATAGTTTTTTTTTTATACAACTTAGAATGGCAAACAAGCTGACGGCTCACCTGATGGAAAGTGGTAACCGTCGCCTATAGACATGAGTAGTACCATGGACATAAGAGTATACTGTTTCGCCCATGATACCCCCCATGCGTTGCCATTCCTGAGGACTCAGGTGTTATTCCTCTGTACCCAGTAAATTCACGCCATATCCCACCTTTCAAACCGAAACACAGCCATGCAAACACAACTGCTTCACGGTTATAGTATCTGTACTTTTATCTTATCTATAATATCTCTACTCGTACATACTAGTACTAATACTACCAATAATAATATTAGTAATGTGTGCCCATTTGTTACCTCTTGACATCCTACCGGCCGATCGTCTTGAAATTTGATACAAAAATAGTATTTGAGATGGCCAACGATGGACAAAATTGCAGTAAAAACTAATTCAATACATCTATATATTTTGAAATTATCTGGAATATACTACACAGGAAATTGTCATAAATTTAAGTCCCTTTTACGAGCCTATGCTCTTGATGAGGGTTATCAGGAAGACATCATTATCATAGGTCATAATGTAATAACATATACATATTTGAAAATATATTTATTAAGACATAGGTGGCTCTTAATATTAAATTGTCTCCAGAGTGACACAACTAGCGTCCAAACAAAAATACGTCGCAAATAGGAGTTTCGATAACAAATTTACTGAAACTATTACGAAACTTAGATATATTGTTTTTTCTTTGTAATTTATAGCTTTATTATGTATAAATGATTGGGAGCAATTTGATAAATTGCTAAGTTGTTTTAAATTCACGTCAACTAATGTATGCCGGTATATACAATTTTATTCTATTTATCAAATCCTTAATTTTTTATACTTATACAAACAGCTTATGTTTTTATATTTATTTATAACAAATTATAGTAAAACTATTTTACAATTTCGTTTGTAAAATCTAGTTTCAATTAGTAATTAAAAGCGTAAGTACTTATTTAACCAAACACTATTATTATATTTATTTAAAGAACAACACTTGTTAACTTACCGTTATTCCAAAAACTTTTGACAAAATCTGGATTTTGCGAGATGGGTCTGTTCAATATAAGTACCGCATATTTATCTTGAATAGTTTTGTTTGTTTGAAACATAATAAACCGTTTTATATTCCACTGCCAACACTTGACCACACTGCAGGACTGGCCACAATAATTGTGCTGCATATATAAGATATTACTTAGTTTTTTGACCTAAAAGATAATGTGTATGTATATTGAGTGATGCACTAAATAACATTGGAGAAAGCTTTGATAAATTTGTTTATGACAAGTACAATAACCTTTAGGAATAAATCTAAACAATATATGAATGATGTGATAGAATAAATGAAATATTTATGTTTTAATGTCTTATTATTAATATTAATTAATAGATAATTAAAAATATATCGAAGTGTTATGCATGAGTGCTCCAGTTAAACTAATTTAAAAATAAATGTTAAACTATTTTTATAATTCTTATTATCTGAGGCACAAAGTTCATAAGTATGATTAGATAAACCCATGTTTATTGGTACTTTTTCACAATTTTTAACACTTGTTCCAAATTTTTCTTATTAGAGTACATTAAACATTAATAAATAAAGACAATATAGAAATTCAAGGTTATTTGTTAAAAAAAAAGAAAAGAGTAAAATTTAAATTCAACTCAAATATACATAGAGTATGGATCAATTTTAAATAAAAAAATAAAATAAAAAAGAAACACTTAAACCTAGCCCAACATACATAGTATCCTGTGATTAAACCATTAGTAATACAATTTATTTGTTTTAATTCCTTTGAATATACAAGTAGATATAAATAACAATTAAATAATTATTTATACCTAGTAATTATTAAGGTTGGCTGGTAGAGAATGCCTATTGCATTAAGTCTGCCTTTTGTACATTTTATTGGTCAATAAAGTTTAAATAAATAAATATATAAATGACACATTTTGCTCTCTTACTGAATATACTTATAAAAAACTAGAAACACTTCATAACTGTGTGAATCACTCACAATAAAAATGAGTTTAATTTGTAATCCATAAGTATAAATACATGTATGATTTTTTTGATGGTCTGTGAAAAATACAGTTTATAGAACATAATAATAATGAAAGATAATAATGTAATAATAATAATCTTATTGTATTAATTAAAACAAGTATTATTCTATCCACTTACATGTAGATAAAAATATAAAAAAAAATAGACTATTGTATGACATAACTTTTAACTGTAGAAACAACTATTTGTAAAATTATCTATGAGTATTAAGATAAGTTTAATCTGGGCCCTTACTGGAATTAGCACCTTTGCTAATAACCTAATAGTCTAATTCAGATAACTTAAAATATTTGCAATAACAATATAATCTAAATTAGACTTGGAAATTATCTCATTTAGTCACACTTTTTTAATACTTATATTACTAATTTATAGAAATTAAGGATTATAATTTATGTTTATTTAATAAGTGAAACTGATTTTTGGCTATTGGTACATGATTTAGCTACCTTTAATATGTTTTATGTAATATAAATTTACCAGTAATCTTTTGATTCAAACTGGCAATTTTATATATATATATATATATATATATATATATATATATATATGACCATGCAAATATTCTACATTGAATAAGTAGAAAAATTAAATACAAATATATGTTCTCTGACAGATAAATCTAACAAGGGGGGTTAAAATGTTAATGGCTCAAGAATGCAATTGAGAACTCTTTTATCACTTTAAATAAATAATGTATTTATACATACCATATTGTTTATCCCACCATTGATAGCCATTTCAATGAAGTTTAAAGTAACTTCTGGTTTGTTGTCCTAGTTCTTGTATAAGTTTAATATTGGGATTATAGCTTGATTACAGAAATATTATGATATAAATCCCTTGTGAAGGATGTAACAGTCAGGTAACATTCACTGCAAATAATCAAATTACAGGTATTTAAAAATTATATGCTTACTGTGTAAATGTTAATTTTATTTACCATGCTTACATAATTTCTAAAACTATGTTACAGTACAGAGATTAAAAAAGAAATTTAAGACTATAAAAGACAGTTTTTAAATTTAAATAATAAATAAAAAAATGTACCTTTCCAGTAAAAATAAATTGCAATAAGTGTCAGTTACAAATGTGACACTCAAATTTATAATGATATTTCTGGTTTTTAACTCAACCCCTTAATTTACTTATCTCATATCAGTACTATAGAATTCATGTGAATATATGTTAAATATAAGCATTAATGTTAAGATAGCATCCTCTCTCATAGACAAAAAAATATTCACTTGTAGGAACCGCAATAACAAACATAACCTAAATACCTATATCTCCAGTAATGGTCTGAAACACAATTTGCACTGCAATAGATTCCTTAAAGCATAATGTGTTCTTTGATATTAATTACCAGTCTGCTCGTAATTATGAATAACAATGTAAAATTTTGTGGTAAAAACAAAACAGCAGGCAGAAACATTACTGTACCTATATAAGACAGCCTTTAATCTTGCATAAAAAAACTTAATGAAAAATAAAATGAAATTAAATTCATTTTTTTTTTCATTTGAATAGCCATAAAATGAAATGAAACAAGAACGAAAACAGAATAATAACTTAATGTGAATCCTTAGATTTTATGTTAGCAATAATACATACCTAAGGATTCTTAACCAAGAATTTTCCTTTCAATGGTTTATTGCTATACAACAATAAACTATCTTATCGAAGATATTTGAAATATAGAAGAGTATCAATCAAAATTAAATACTTATGTTCATTCTGTACACAGACTAATAGAAAAAAAAACAAAAAAACAGGTGACCACAGGTGACCACTGACCAATGAAAGATCATGTTTTGTGAAGCTGCCATCTGTCAACCTAATACGTACAGCTGACACTGACCGTCTTCAATAGTGATTGCTTTAACCTGATTCGATTCTATCTATAATTGATTTTGTAGTAATTATTTATTAAAATTAATATTAAAGTTCTGGTTTATTCTCTGGATACTATTATCTATTATCTTATAAGTAATTTTATTATAATTCTGTTATAATCATCAATATAAAAAAGGAATATTACATTTAGAAATGTAAAAAAAGAATGGAAATATACAGAAGTGATTTTTAACAAAGTTATGCTTGTAATTACATAGTTGCACTGTGAATATAAAACTGCAAGGTTCGGAGTTGGTCTTTTATGATATTTGAATATTTGTTACTTTAGTACTCATTAAAAAAGTAATTATATCCTGCTGTATTCACACATAGTAATATATTACAAATGACTTGCTTTGTAACTGCTACTTTATTAAATTTAAGTACATTTTAATTGATGAAGTTAAATAGTTAAATTATTTCTCCTACAGATAAACTTAAGATTATCACGAATAGTATTCGAGTACCGTATATACTTAAAATTTATATTAAATATTGTATATTCGAATTCAAACACTATTCTAGTCAGTCTGACTTTGTACATCACTAAGAGAAGAATATTGTCATAAAAAATTCTAAGTGTTTTACATATTATTTTGCTAATTGATTTCTGTTTTTTACAGTAACATAATTTAATCCATACAAAATGAATAGAATATTCGGTAGAGGTAAACCTAAAGAACCAGGTCCTAGTATTACGGATTGCATCAGTAATGTAAGTTGGATGTTATTGTTAATACATTGATGATTGTTAGTGATGATTCAGTCTATAAATCTTTTCTGTAGTTCGTAATAGATTTTTGTTAATGTAAATTTTTATTACTTTACGTTGTTATTTTAATTAGGATGAATTTAACATATTCATTTCTTGATATATAATGCAATTGCAATATATAATTATATATAATACAACTACGATGATCTTGTATCATCAGGAGGAATCAACTCTTTTTGCTATATAAATATATGCATTGTAACTCCTGAGAATCGAGGTTTCCTACTACTTCTGTCAAAGACTAAAGAGTCTATCGTATTTTTTTAAATTGTTGAATTCTATTATTACTATTTTCCACTCTATAGTTCTAATTAATATCAATTAGTTTCAGAAGTTATTTGGATATAGAGTCATTTTATTTGATTGGAGTCTGTCATTTCATATAGCCAATTTCTGTACTTATTAAAAAATAATACTCAAATAGTTACTAGGTTGATACCTAGTGACAGTGTGAGCAATAATACCTCTGGCATGTTCAAGGGGGGTCAAAAACTCATCTTACATGAATCATAAAATTTATGTAACCCAGCAATTTTAATAGGTCTCTGCCACCTAGGGCTTACTATTGCTGGACATGTTTATTTACATCAATGGGTATATAAAGTAATTCCTATAATGATTTGTGTACAGAGAGATTTTTAATCTTCCTGAATGATTATATCACAGTTTAGAATATTTGTAGACTTTTTGGTAAAAAAAGTACAAGCAGATTGTGATAATACTATGTTATAATCATAGGTTTACTTTCATGCAATAATTGAAGCCAACAAATGTATCTATATTTACATGTACTCAGGTTGACAGCCGGGCAGACAATATTGAACAAAAGGTTCAAAAATTGGAAGCAGAGCTTCGAAAGTATAAAGATCAGATGAATAAGATGCGAGAGGGACCGGCTAAGAATTCAGTGAAGCAGAAGGCAATGAGAGTTTTAAAACAAAAGAAAATGTGAGCATAAAATAGTCATCTAAATATTATGAATGTGATTACAAACTGTATTGTTAATTAACCAAACAAATACATTTTAATCTGATCTTGGATAGTGACTAGGAAATTAGTGTCTAAAAATTATAAAAAACTCAGTTATGCCTTTGGTACTGTTCCTGTCTGAAAGTGATGGATACCACTTTCTGTCAGTTGGACCATCAACTTATTTACCATTCTAGATGGTAAAAAAAATATACTGATTCTTTTACTCATTCGATATATGTAGTTCTTGAAATCATATAGTTATTGTAATAAATCTTGCTTTAATAGCAATTAACAGTGCAGAAGCACATATTTTGTATATATACCAAATTTCTTCCTGACCTGTATTTTTTTTAATAAGTAATTAGTTTTTTTAACAAAATTGCTACAATTAAGAAAGTGTTTATTTTTGTGAATCAAAATTCTTAATTTTTTTTTTCTATCTGAATGTTTAAATTATAACTTCTGATGAATGCATAGTTAGCATGTATGTCACTTTAAAATTCCAGGTATGAACAGCAATTGGAAAATTTGAGAGCTCAGTCTTTTAATATGGAACAAGCAAACTATGCCACACAAACCCTAAAGGATACACATGCCACTGTAGCAGCCATGAAAGATGGTGTCACACAGATGAAAAAGGAGTTTAAGAAAATTAATATTGATTCAATTGAGGTATTTATCTATTGTATTTTTGTGATTTGCTTATTGTATTATTTCTCTTTTGTAGTTGCAGTGAAAATTAGAGGATGGCCCTTGCTTAGTAGTGGGATAAAGTCTAATCTACTATTACGGGGGGGGGGGGGGGAAGGATTATTAGTAATGGGAACTAACAGCCCTATTACTAGCAATATACTCTAATAGGTTAATCTCTAAGTAGTTCCCCCTAAAAATTTATGTAGTTAATTCCCATTGAATTTGTTATGATGGGCTTACTGACTTGCTTTCTTCTTTATCTATTGTCTCACTAGTGACTTACCAGTGTATATTAATAGAGCAGGTAAGGCTTGCCAATACATTTATTATTATATCAGTCATTTATATCAGAGGGAGACTTTGTACAAAAGTCGATTGCTTAGGTACCTCTGTCTCATTCGTGTTTCAACCGTGAAGCAGTTGTACTGGCACTGCTCATGTCTAGAGGCGACGGTTACCACTTTCCATCAGGTGGGTCGTCAGCTTGTTTGCCATTCTAAGTTGTATAAAAAATAAAAATTACTGTCCACTGCTGAACATAAGCCTCCTCCAAAAGAGAGCTTATGCCAGCAGTAGCCACTTTTGGCAGATGAGATGTGAAATGTTTTAAGAGGAACACTGCTGCTCATCCTTCAACCAATAAATTCTCCTAGTCTCCTCTTATGACACCCACAGGAAAGGAAGGAGTAGCCTATTAATATTATGCTGGGATCACACAGAGAATATGTATTTTTATACTAATTAAATTTATTTCCAGGATGTGAATGATGAATTAGCAGACATGTTGGAGCAAGCAGATGAAGTGCAAGAGGCACTCGGCAGACAGTATGGCATGCCTGAAATCGATGATGATGAACTTGCTGCAGAATTGGATGCGTTAGGTATGTGTTTATTCTTTATTGACCATATTATAAAGAAATGTTTGATACAAAGGGTGTATTAAATGCTATATAAATATTAACTTCAAGTAAACCTTTGGAATAACAGAAATATCGTAATGTAATGCTGATAGATATATTGAAAATTGTTGTGGTAAATAGTTACAAATATATATGTATTGACACATAAATTATACAATATACATAATGGAAAACTACACATTATGATCATATAAATATATATGAATATGAACATATACAAATGTAGATATAAATGTATACATACATACAAGATAACACATTGTTATACTAATATATAAAATAACAATAGTGATCAAAGGTAATAAATGTTGAACTATACAGCTTCATCATAAGAAATTAATGGATTAATGGATTTTTTAAAAGCATATTTATTAAACACTTACGTCAGTGGGTAGCATATTCATTATTAATATTCATTCATTATAAAACTTGTAATTCTTATTATTGAACTCTGTTATTCTGATTATTATAAGTATCTATTAAAAAAAAAGTATGTCTATTCATTAATAAAATAAAAGGCAAGCAAGCTAGACACATTCTCCAACGAGATCACATAAAAGCAAACACAGTATAGGGCGACCAATTGTTAAATGGAGCAATAATTTCAACTGTGTTGTAGAGGATCAGTGGATGGTATGTAGCTCATGACCATTCTTTATGGCAGTCTATGGGGGAGGACTATATTTAGCAATAAACAAGTAACAGTTGATATAATGATGTCGTTTATTGGTTATCTAATGCTATGATCGACTAATGACATTGTAAGAGTTATAAAAAAGTTTAGATTTGACTTCCTCAAGTATTTGGTGCTTGATAATCAGATCTTTTAGGTGGATATCCTCAACTCAACGTTAGTGCAGTTACTGCATAGGTTGTCTACGATAGTACGACACGCCTCTTTTTATTTCAGTGTGTGTGACCATACCATATGTAATGGAGCTATATTTTTGTTTGTTAATAAACGTCTTCAGTAGCGGTCTGGCAAGAATATCGAAATTATCCTTGATCGAAATAATTTTTACTCACGCATTTTTAATTATTTTGTTTTTAGACAGACGTGCCATGTTATCGTTGACATTCCGTAATTGTTTATTGAAAACCCATTTTGGCTTAGCAAAGCATATTCGATCTCATGATTCTCTGTATTTATACCAATTTAGCTTTGTTTGTGACAAAATGGCTCTGTGTAATAACTAATTGTATATATATATATTATTTTTTATGAAAAACCCAATTTTTCTTTCTTTATCAGTGAGGTAATAAAACGCGAAATCTTTGATGTTTTACAGGTGACGAGATAGCGTTAGACGACGATGCGTCATACTTGGACGATGTGGTGAAGGCGCCAGCGGCTCCGGACAAGGAGCCGGGCGCGGACAGCGTACGGACACGGGACGGTGTGCCCGTAGATGAATTCGGCCTCCCACTTGTCCCCAGCCCTGCCCAGCCGTCGCGCTGATCTCGCCTCCAACCCACCAGATAAAGGGATCGTAGGCTTGTTTTTCGAGTAAGTTATAAAATATATTGCCTTTCCATTCTTTTATTTTGCTTTTAACTGCTGTTTCTTAATTATCTTTTAAAAATTTGTTTACTGTATTAAGATGTGTGATATTATTGATAAACAGAATATACTTAAATAAGTTGGTAATCAGAATTTTTTTAATACTTCGTATATTTAGTGGGATAATTTGAAATAGATTTAAAATAAATAGTAAAAGAATCCTGACATTGGTAAGGTATACTTATATTAAAATGCCCCACAATGAAACTGTTCAAAGTCCTGTAATTGTGGGAACTGCTATGAGAGTTAAATACATTTATTATTAAAAAAAAAATCTACACATTTTCAAGACTCAAGAAACTAGGAAGTTTATAGCAACTGTGAAAAGAAAATATAAGAATGGAAAGGAATATGATCACGTGATACTTGTACGATATGAAGGTTGTTTTTAAAGCTGTCACGTTGTAAACGCATTGTGATATTATAAGCACAAAATCTAGATCTTCATTAAAGAAGTAACTCGAATTGAAGAGTTTTTTTTTTCACTTAAAAATATTGTACTTATAATATCATGATATGAAGTTATTATGAATTCGATAGAAAGCTATTAAGCTCAAACAAATGACTTTTTGTACAATTCGTGCATTGATTTAAGAGAGCAACGGTTCGCAGTTTTTTTTTTTTTTTCAAATTATAAGAATTAACTTTGTGTCCATATGTTTCAAAATATTTATATACTTTTACTTTTTTATCATACAAGTTATTTTTTTTATTGCTCTCCTGATCAGTTGTTGATATAATATTTTCAATGTCATTGTTTGCGTAACCATTAAACGCTCCTATATAAAATAATGTAAGTATTGATTTATAACCAGTTAAAAGTTTTATTAGGTTGCCTTTTTATTTTAAATTTTAATTTTTTATAGGAAGAAGTATAAAAGGAAATAGAATTAGACTATAATATATAAACAACTGACATAGTAATTTTAGCCACCTTTTAATTAATAAAAATACCCAATGATGATCTGTAATGTATTAATTTAGATTCATGTACAGCAGGGTTAATAACCGGACAGGGGTAGGTGTAATCACCTCGCCCCATCCCCCGTTTGATTTACCATATTCGCCTTGTCTAGTACTCATTATTTTTGTGTCAAATTCGAATACTTATCATTATTTTCTTAAGCATAAAGGTCAAATTTAAATAGCTGTTGTTCGCGATCTAAATGCTAAGAGAAGAAACTGAATTCAACAATATTGTTAATTATATTCTAAATTGCACATAGTAATATAATTATTAAGAGAATTTATTAAAAATAAAAATAAAATATATATTTTGAAGTAACAGACTTCATAAACTAAAAATAATTCTGATTCACACAAAAAAGAAGAATAGAAATCGATTTATTCTCTGAAAGTTGTGAGACGCAATGGCTTCTAAGACATTATAATATTAATTATATAATTTTCAGTTGGGAAATATACCTGTTTCACATACATGGTTAGCCGAAAAGGGTAAATATAATAAAATTGATCCTCAGTGACTATTGACTTAATGGAATTGAAATCAAATCGACATTGCATTGAATAGATGTAACATAAACTCCCATGTAATTGCTTTCTTTTTTTTTAAATATTTGTATGCAAATCTAATGAATCATACACTTACAACTTAGAGAAAGCTATTTCATGAATACTATCTTTGGTTATGATTACATACAATTACCCTTGTAGAGGAGCCTAGTATATATTTATTTGCCACATTGCTACAATATGCCATATCAGTTTTGGCTTAAAAATGTAAGTATTAATTGAAATTAATGTTAATTCTGAAATGTCATTAATTATTTTGGAGATATGTTTAAAGAATGATATTTCAGAGTCTATTTCACTGTATGTTTTATATTCTGAAGTCTTTGTTGCTTTGTCTGTTATTATGTAAATGTATCTGTAATCTATTCTTAAATTAATAAATTTAAGTTTGTATAAATACTTTTTATTATTTCAAGGGGAAATTTGTAATATAAGAGACATAATGTCTATACACTTCTTAGTTTTTATATTTCTACTTCACATGCTATATCGGGGTTTTATACACTTTTAAGATAACGAAACACCCACCAAAAACCGATGAAAAGATTTTAATCCTTTATTTTTTCCTATATCCCGTTATTTCAAATCTTATGACCTGACACTGCTTAATTGTTTGTATTCTTACAAATCCATGATTTATATAATGAAACTTCTTGAAAAAAGCAAGGAATTAAATGGAAATAAAACAATATTGTATGGTAAATTAACCTTTAATAATTATAATAATTTAAGGGCATTATATTAAGGTCAACACTAAAATACTGTTAAATTTATTCTTATCTGTATACTGCATCGCAGTAATAGGTAACACTTGGCGTCGGCAGCACCAAACGAGCCGTCCTTTGTCGGAAACGTCAAGTGTATTCTAGTCCGCACGATCCAAGAAATAACAATATAAATCCTACTTTGAATATGTTACACTAAGGGCGTTTCTTGAATGGTGCGAACTTAGATTCGAAGTGTCCATTCGATCAGCAGAGCACTCATGGCATATAAATAATACTTAGTACGCAATATTTACATCCTAAAAATAGGGACCTCGCGTTAACCGGGATGAGGCTAGGCAAAAGAAATGATATGTACAATCACTCCAAACTTGTGATCTCTATATCGCAGACAGTCTAATTGCACTATAGTTCAAACAATAACTCTTATTTAATCTAGAGCTTCTTGTCCAGTCTTTGGCAATAGGAAGCAGAGTAGCGCGGAAACTGAAACAAGAGAAGCATGTATTAAAATATAAAAATATATTAATCCGCCATTTTGAATATTCAAATTGGTAACATTGTTTGCAGATTAAATACACTTAGTACTTATTTTGCGTATTGTAAAAAACGACCCGTTTTCAATATTGGTTTTGAAGGTATGTGAATTCTTACTATACTTTGAAGATAATAAGTTGTATAATTTACTTAATTTGTAATACTTACTGAAAAGGAATGACGCGAAAACAACAATAGGGACGATGCAGTTGATATCAATCAGGTAACCGAATGACAGGTTGCCTATGAGACCTCCGCCTCGACCTGCTGTTAGTGAGAGCGCGGCTGCCATTACCCTGTTGAGTAGAATAAGAATTTTAAGAACTAAGAACTTTAATGTAATTTAAATGAAACCAACTCACGTTTTTTTTTTATACAACTTAAAATGGCAAACAAGTTGACGGCCCACCTGATGGAAAGTGGTAACCGTCGCCTATAGATATGAGCAAGACCATGGACATAGCAGAGTATACTGTTTCGCCCATGATACCCTCCATGCGTTGCCATTCCTGAGGACCCAGGTGTTATTTCTCTGTACCCTGTAAATTCACGCCATATCCCACACTTCAAACCAAAACACAGCCATGCAAACACAACTGCTTTACGGTTGAAACACAAATGGGACAGAGGTATCCAAGCAAACGACTTTTGTACAAAGTCTCCCTCTGGTGAGTCTCCTTGATTTGATGATAAGTGGTAACCATCACCTATTGACATGAATAGTACAGGATATAGATGATGTAAATACAGGATGACTGTAGTTTCTCATACATTGAAATTATTGAGGACTATGGTATTATTATTATTATTAGTATTATATTATTGTAATCTTTTGGAGGAAACAATAAAGAGTATCTATCTATACCACCGAATCCTGTAATTTTATTGTCTTATCTCACTCTCACAGAGACAGCCATATAAGTATAACTTTTTCACGATAGAAATACGAGTTAGACAGAGATACTTAAACAGATGACTCGTACAAAGTCTCCCTCAGCAATTAAGCAAGTATACTGTAACAACGAATGATAACCCCTTTTGCCCTATCGGTATACGCTGGCGGGACACCTGTGGGGGATGATAGGTAAGGACGAAAGTAGGTCAGTTAGCCCATCATAATGAATTTTATATGAACTAATCACGACGGTTTCCAGGTGGAACCACATGTTTGTATAGTGATAGGGTATATTATTAGCAATGGGACTATTAAACCCCATTATTAACAATGTCTTTCCCCCTACTGTAATATGTATTTTTTTAAATGGGCGAGAATTAAATAGAAACCCTGCCTGCGCTATCGGTGTACGCTAGCTGGACACCGGTAAGACATGATAGCTGAGAAAGAAATGAAGTCAGTTGTTAGTCCATCGTGACGAATTCTATAAGAATTAACCACGATGGATTCCAGAGGGAGCGGTGTGGAGGTCGATCTAATGAGATATATTGCTAGTAACAAGGTTGTTAGACCCCATTACTAACAATCCCTTTCCCTCCCATATAATAGGTTGGTATAAAAATTTACGTCAACAACAAAGTGTAAAGCTAATACTACTATTTAAAAGGTTTCCTTACCTGAGGTTCGTAGGGAATAAGTCGACTAGCACGCAGAACAGAAGACTAATGGCGAGTGAAGTCAGCGCTTCGAAAATACAAGACAGCACCAGGTTCTGGGTAGATGTTTGAACGTAATACAAGCTTACTGTCACGACGCCGGCGAGGAACAAACTGAAAACTATTTATTAATTTGTTATTATCCTGATAATGCCAGAATCCTTTTATATTTAATAGAATAAAAAAGGAGGTAGTAGAGGTAGGTAGCTCTTCGCGCTGAGTTTTCAACATTGAATTAATATACAAGTGAATGCAAACATAAACAATTATTCTCAAAAATTATTTAGAATATCTTCTCTGTATATATAACATTCTCGTATCACAATGTTAGTTGCCATGCTTCTTCATAACGGCTTAACCGATTTTGATGAAATTTTATAAGTATACTCGATAGCTCTAAGAATAGGTTATTATCTATTTTTTATACTCCTAAATGACAAGGGTGGCTCACCCCAAAAACACCCTAGACATAATTTATATGGCAAAACAACGTTTGCCGGATCAGTTAATTATTTTATATTTTTTACATTTGGTTGTAGTCATATGTGAAAATTAATCTATATAAATCCACATGCATTAGTACCTACAAAATATACTTACTCAAAATGAATTTGGCACCAAGTTTATGTACAAACAATGGCAACCATAGAGATGTAGGTATACACGCAAGACCGACAATGAGTGTGTGCATATAGACATTTTTGTCTATGGTCTTCAAACAATCGAACGGGTCTTCGGATCCTTCATCTATCACGATACCAGAGACGTCACAGACAGACGCAGATGTGTTCGGGAAACGCTGTTCGAACTCTTCGTAACGGTTAAACAGTTCAGGGAACCAGATCATGAGGGTGTAGTAACTGAAGGAAAATAAAATATATTTAGATAGGTATCTACTTATTGTCTATTTTAAAAGAACTTAATGTAAAGATAAACGTTTTGTTGAAATTATCACAGAAACAGTAACAAATTGCAACATTCAATCAATTAATCGATTTTTGATTTAAACATCAGCAGATTATTATATAATCATATCATTCTAATGTTAACAATTCATTGAACCAGATTCTATTCCAATAGTTTAGGAGTACGTCACGTACGAGTCACAATTATTTACTACGCTGACCTTGGTGGCGAATGGTATAAGGTGCTGATTCATCTTCCGATAGTTGAGGTTCAATCCTCGCATAATACAAATATTTGTATTTATGACTATATTTAAAGTGACGACAGTATAAAACAAAAATGCCAGCCATAAACTACCAAAGATTGTAAATATTTGAGATTTTTGTGACTTCATCCAATTGTTTGTAAACTCTAATTAACCTAAAAAAAAGGCAGTAGGCTTGCACCCTGCATCATTAGACTCGAAATGTGTTTAAGTTTTACCTGGTAGTTAAGCCGAATTGGAGGAGGCACGTAATAATCGTGTATTTCAGGTAGGGTGGCTTGCATAAAGCTTTAGTCTGTACCCAAATCTCTCCAAACAGTCTTTTCAGATCCTTAGGTTTGCGCATGCTAAGACTTCGGACAGATTTCTGCGAATTTTGCGATGCCACCGATACGGTTCGCACTTTTTCCTTGAGGGTTTTGATCTGTAAATTATTAGTTACAGATTTTAGAGGTTCGTAAGTAAATAAAAATTTCGTTAAAGAAGTTTATTTTGATATTTTGTCATTTTCTATCAAATAAAAAATTTAGTTCGAAAGATAGAGATCCAATATTCAAATAATAAAAATAAGTTAGATCACTAAACACTCAAGCAGGTGAAAGACATACTTGGCGTATATTTTCTTCCATTCTATTGTAATACATAAAATTTCACGCTATCACCCTTATTCCCGAACAAAATAAAGAAAGAGCTACCGTCGTATGTGTACATACGCCGTATGTGTATTATTGTTATGACAGAACGTACTATGCCAATATTCCTGTGCCTAACTCTATATCCTGTATTTTTATTGTTATATCCTGTAGGCCAAGAACTTTTGTACAATTAGTCGGAGTGTAGCTTTATGAAAATTGGTTTAAACAAAATGGTTCATATTGTGACAGAGGAAAAGCTGAAGGTTTAATTTTTTATTCAAAATACTACTTACTGGGTAGTTATCGGGGTCATCACCAGTGTTCTGTTTGTAAATGAATTTGAGGCAGTTTAGGGCATCATCGTAGTCTCCTACTTCCATCATGAACTTGGGACTCTCGGGGAATGCGAAGAGCCAGAATCCGAGCAAAAGTGAAGGTACACCGCATGCGGCAACAAACCAGTTCCAGGAGTCGTATGAGAAACCTCCGCTTTCTATTCTAATACCCGTAATAGGAATAATGCCCCAGGCGATCACTGTAAAAAAATTTGGATTTTATTAAACACTCTGCAAGTAAAATTTTCAAAATTGAAATATTCTTCATTTTTCTTCAATAATCATATTTCACTGGTGTCCCGCCAACGTACATAAATAATAGGCGGAGTTACCGTTGCATTAACATCAATTAAAAAAAAGGTTCAAGCCCAAAAATAAATGGTTGGAGGTCAAGTTATCTCTCTGCTAATTTCTACTCTAATTGGTTCAAGCTCTTAGCTGATAAAAATTAATTTATAAAAGCCATATTGTGCAGATTTTAAAAATATGTAATTATATTTACGCCTTTATATGTTTATGAATTAACAGTTTGAATATGTAGCTTACATGGTAATAATATGACACCCAGCGTCCAGAATATTTCCATCCAGCACAGAATTTTCTCTCTATATTTGGTTGCCTGGAACTCTCCCAAGTATGGGAAGACGAGACCCATAGCACCAGCAATACTGCAATAAATAAATTATATATGAACTTTGAATATCCAACTAGATAAATGTAACCATCTTACTAATCTTATTAATTTATATATGTAAAAGTCTGTAAAGATATTTGGTATGTTTGTTAATCACGCTTAAACGGTTAAACGGATTTTAATAAAATTTATTTCACGTATAATTTACGAGTATATGTTATATTCTAACTTGACACACGAGGTACTTTATATGCATATTAAAGCAAACAAAGCTGCGAGAAATAGCTAGTATTTTATTAAATGAGATTGAAAAATATCGTAGCGGGTGGATTTTGAACCCGCACCTCAAAGTTCTTGACACTGAGTACCTGACAAACCTGATTGAAGTCATTGTGTAGTTTGCATCATCAATTTTTTTACTTATAAACGGTATTTATAAGTAATTTGTGTCTATGATCGACAAAGATTTATAAAACTCCCGTAAGGGGAGGTTCAAAATTTTTATTACAGATAGCATGATGCTTCTGTTAATATCGAAGTCCCATTATAATAGAGACATTGACGATTTCGATTTTATTCTGCATATACATGTAGCGACGATGAATAAGTCATTTTATAAATTTAACCATCAATTATGAGTTACTAATTAGGTACTCGTAGTAGCAAAAACGATTCATTCTATTGAGCTAGCCGATTAAAAGCGTAACTGGAAGGAGTTGATGACACCATTTCATGTCTTATTTATGGGTAATTAGTGAATGTGGGAACCGAGTGACAATACAGAGACGTATCGAGCACAGTCGCAGATGAATATAATAGTTACTAACAAGCTATTATGAACTGGCTTGCTTCTAAAAAATATATTCTATTGTCTATATCATAGAGTTTGTAATTAGAACTAGATGATATTCTTGAAGTGATTGCACCGATAGTTACAATTCTAAGTACTACAAAGTCACGTGTTGTATCACATGGCATGTGCTTCCTTGATACTTACCAAAAGCCGTTGACAAAGCGGCATGCCATAAAGACGGAGAGAATTTGGACAAACGAAGACACGATGCCAATGATGCCGTCTATAAGCAGCGTCGATATCAACACCACTCTACGGCCTTTTGTATCAGCCAAGGATCCCCAGAAGTAAGAGCCGAGGACCATACCTGTACAAATGTACATATGTTAAGAAATGTGATGACAGTTACTGTCATTTCTCAACTGTTGCTGTTGGTGTATATAAAACTATTTTCTTCTATAGTTTCCACATAATTGTGTATTTTTAAGGGGTCGGTAAAGTCCTCTTAAAAAAGACAAATGTATCCTTAGACATGCCTGCGCATAGCTGTGCAAATATTGTTGGCAACCTGGAGTGGGCAACAATGAGTTCTGGGGTGGGCACCGCTCCCTGCCACCTTAAATATGCCTACAATTCTACGCCACACGTTAAATACATTAAATCCATCGTGGATTTACTAAGTTTTCTTAACATAAATGTTGAATAATAAAAATTTAATGAGCAATAAGAAAAAATAATATATATTTAAATAATTTGGAAATAGGTACGATTAAAAAGAAATAAATACCTATTATCTTTATTACTGGCGCTTTTTTTCTACGGGGTCGTTAAACTACACAACAATGAAAATAGATTTTAATAAGGTTCATCTTTGTTCACAAAGAAACGGCTTCAATTGTAATATAATTAGTGTACTAATTTAATAATTACCGTAATATTTTATTTTAAAATATTAGCATATTTTTATTATCTTATACATATATCATAATGATAGGTATTTTTCTTAAAATGGAATTTCTAGGACACATCTATAATTCCATATTCAAAGAACTCACCCAACATAGGCGCGGCAGTGAGCCACCCTTTATCGGCGGATGTCATGCGGAAATCACATGTTGCGGCTGGTAGTACAAATGATACAATCGTGATGCCAATTGCAGTGTTCGCGTAAATCAGCCCAGTGACCGCCAGTAAACAGAAGTGGAAGCGACCGAATCCTGTATGAAAAAAAAGTAAATATTTAAGATCACGGTATACTAAAAGTACAGGATACGAGTAGTTACAACATACAATGGTTATTACAGTGTACTTGTTCTGTTATGTATATGGCGCTTTTTAGGTTAATATGCAACGGTCGCTGCTTTCCACTACAACTGTCAGCTTGATTCTAAGTTTTATAAAAATTCAAGAAGTCGCATAGCACTTACGTGTATAGAGACTAAACAAAACTGATTAGGTGCCAGTTGAACTCACATGCCGAGATTAAATATATAAATACGATATAAAATAACCTTTATTGTATTGTTGTAACGAGATAGATACCTAATAATTATTATTATTGATTAATAATTATTATTATTAAATCGTGATTTTTTTGCATCTTACTGGTATGAAACTCTATAAATGGGTGCTTAATATTAAATTTATTACATATTTTTAACATTTATTCGCAAAACCAATAGGGGTAGAACTTTCCCATAATTAGGCCAGTTTGTGATACTAATTAAGTATCTATTACTAGCAATAATTTTCTATTGAAATTGTTAGCTTGTCTGCCATGACACTTTATATAAACAATAATCTTATTCTATTGGATTACTTATTCGAATAGATAGATATTTGTTATTCTTTCACGCAAAAACTACTAAACAGATTTTAATGAAATTTAGAACACGAAAAGATTATGTCCCAAAATTAGCTCGTAGAATACTAATTCAAGTGATTAAATACAAAGCTGGTAGGAAATAAACTTACCGGTAGCGGAAATAGCAGCCTCGAAGTCTGCTCCATTTTCTAAGAAATCTAGACCTGTAAACATTAAATGATAATTATTACTACATACATCATTATTATAATTTTATTTTTATTATTATAATATTATTTTTTATGTACTTGTTTCAGTATTTGGATACATTGTTGACATCTGTTAATTTTTATGAGCACTTAACTGCTAAAATAGGCCTTCGGAGTCTAACTAAATTGAATGCGTCTTGCGTTTCTTCAGACATTTTTATTTATATGCATTCAAATACAGTACACAATACAGCTGTTTTAGTGTAAACCTATATGTTTTAAACTTTTATAACATTGATTAAGTATAACTTGATTTTTTTTGTAAATAGTCAAGTATCCAAACGTTATTTATAGGCACAGTATTTAATTAAAATCTATTGCCATACATTACTATAAATGAGGTTAAATTCACACAATGACATAATATATTTTGTAATTTTAGTTCCTATAATAATAATACAGTTTTTAATAAATTACCTACTACAATATTTTTAAATGCCAAAACGCATCAATAATTACAATTTATCTACCCTCACTTTAATGACTTGCCAGGAAATCGATCAACAGATTGTGACAAGTATGTTTTGTGTAGTAAGTGATTCCTCGAGTAAATTGATAGATTAATGTGTAGGAAATAACATCAACTAATAACAATACGATAATCATTCACTTGCATTTTATATTTTTTTGTTTTTTTTTTTTATGTTGTTTGGATATTTATTTTTTATACAGTATATAAAGATTGTTCTTTTATAGACCTAAAATTTTTAAATTTTTTAATAAAAATAGCCACAGATATGGGTTTAAATAATTTTAAATTGTAATTGTACGTTCTTCATGGGTAACTTTTTCATTCTAAAATATACTCAACAGCCCATTTGACTTTGGTTTAACTATCGGTTATAGATTTAGCGAAATTATTTAGTATTATAATAATTAATAGCTTTTATATAGTGACAAGTAAATCAAAGAGTCTAGTTTTATTATAAAATGAGATATTAGTGATGTTTATTTTTAAATAACTAGTCTATGGTACACGTGATGTCTATAAGGAAACAGTAATCTCAAGTGTCACGTTTAGCGCCAAACAATTAAATAAACTGACCACTTCTAAACTGTGTTATCGTGAATAATTTTCAAATGGTGTTCAACCTGCTTTATTTATTTATATCTATGAATAGATTGTAAGTTGGTGAAGTGCATTGATAAAGATTTTCATATCGCTCAATGTTTAAATGTATCTATTAGTTTTCCTTGCATTGTAATAGTAGGTAATCAGATAGTGTCATATTTAGAGTGGTTAGTTCGATGAATAAAAGGTTTATCAATAATATACCTATATCTTTTATTCAGTTCGATGACATAGAAATATTATTGATATATAGAAGTTATTGCGGTATGATCTCGGGATAGAATGAGCCACCTTTTTCTTTCCCGTGGGTGTTAAGGGATGAGAAGCAGGTCTCTTTCAAAACATCATCGTGGAAATTACTGACATAACCCCCCAATTTATGGAGGAGACCTATGTTCAGCAGTGGACAGATAAAGGCTGATATGATGATGATGATGAAGATAGATGTATATATAAATAAGTAAATAAGTCAGTAGTAATAGAATATCGAGTCGAAACCAATTACTTTGATTGGTATATTCAATTTTTTTTTATACCACGAAGGTAGCAAACTAGCACACATGCCTGTCTGATAGTAATAAACAGCCTATGGAAATAAACGGTATTGAAACCGCACTATACGCGACCATATAGATTCTAGCGTGTGAGAATGAATTCCCTATCGATGGCGAACAGTTCGATGATGAAAGGTGGCTGTGCGTATCATTTCGAACAATTCCTTATAACACAGTTCGTTGTACAATCGGTAGAACATACAAAGGGAGATAAAGTTTTGCCTTACAGGGGTAACTATTTTTGAAATTAAATAACTTTTTTCTCAAAATAACTAATTCTGAAACTGAACTAACCTAACTGTCACTTGAACAATTTTATCATAATCTTCTGGCATTTTCTTAATCATGCACATATCAATAACATTTATCATATAATATCCGAGATTTGAAATAACTAATTAAAGATTTTATATTACTAAAAGAATGGCAAACAACGGGCTTACTATTAGGACGAAGCCCTTTTAATACTTTTACAAACATTGTCTCAAGTGTACTCTTATTTCTCCTTTAAATACACCGAAAAGGAACATTAAATTAAATCAATAGAACACTTCATAATTAAGTAAAATATGAAGCTATTTATTTATGCTGTCAACAGACTGCAATCACTATTATTATCTTATTTAATAATTGTATTATAAGTAGCAATATTTACTGTAATATCGTACATGATTAATCAATTTCTTATTGAACATGAGATGAAGAGATTCATCATCATAAATAAAATCATCAACTAAGTGACAAGACTAGATGACGGTCTGATGCTTTATCAGTATGTTGTGTGCACAAAGCTTTATGGTACAAATAAATATATATGTATGACACGGTCATTTACATATAGTATTGTAACAATGTAAGAGTATATGTGCAAGGATATGATTTCGTAACGTGGAAAACAACAAGTATCAGTAAAAAAAAAAAAAGGGTTTATATGTAATGTATTTTTTTTACTAGCTTCGCTAGTAGTTGTATCGTGATGTTGAATAGTCTATAACTTTCCTCAAGGAACGAACTATCAAATGTAAAATAAATCTTTCAAATACGACTGGTAGTCCCAAAGATTAGCGCGTTCAAAGTTACGCTTTATTGTATTATATATTAAAATTTAGATAGATTGATTATTTATTATGGATTTTTAACCAAATTAACATTTTTTTTTAGTATTCATAAATTCTTATTACATTCTCATAAAATATACCAGGAGGAGGCTTTATACAAAAGTCGTCTGCTTAGATACTTGTGTTCCAATCGTGTTTCTGCCGCGAAGCAGTTGTGTGCATGTATCGATTTCAATTTGAGAGATGGGTATATATGACTGTAATATGGCAATGAAATTATAGGGTATAACACCGTAGTCTTCAGGAATGGTAAAGCATAAAAGGTTTCATGGGTGACACAGTTTATTCTGTTATGTCCATGGTACTGTTCATACCTATAGGCGAGGGTTACCATTTTTCATTAGGTGAGCCATCAGCTTGTTTGCTATTTTAAGTTGCATAAAGAAATATAATGTATATACGGACATTTAGATTGTATTAAGATTTTATAAATATGTTATTGCAATGCATGGTAATATAGGCAGAGGGCCTGATAATATAAATACTTTAAAATTTATTACTATGTTTTAATTGAAAGACTTTACGTTCAGAATTTGCCATGTGTGCCCGGCATAGAATGGGCCACGCCTTTCTTTCCCATGGGTATCGTAAGAGGCGACTAAGGGAAATTAATGGTCGAGGAATGAGCGTTGCTTTTAAAACATCATCAAAGCCTAACCTGCAAATACCAATTCACGTGTCAAGCGTGGCATTTATTAACCTCTTTATTGGAAAGGTCTGATTTCAGTAGGTGATAGTAAATGTTTAATATAATGATATGATTTTCAGAATGGTTCCATATAAATCCATGGTTGTAAATAAAATTATTAGTCACACAAACTATTTGAGTCACACATTTTGTGTGACTCAAATAGATTTATTGCAACACAGAAATTAGTACAGATACCATAATAAGTAGTAGGTATCATACTAGTATAAACCAGCAATGAACATTTTATTTATTTGACTATGTACATAATCGAATGGAAATTAACAAGAACAACGAAGAACACCAATTGATGAAGATTATTCAATCAGAATCGTTGTTCATTTATCTTAATAAAATAGTGTTAGTCGGCTTAGAGAACCTCATACAAAATCTAAGTGATAATTACAAATTTTGCATGTGAATAGTGTAAATCAATAATGGTCTAATCTTAATGAGTGCCATTCAAAAGCATGTGTCGTGGTTTAGTACGATGAATGACTGTGAAATGTTGATTTAGCGTAGAATGACGTCAATTTAATATCTCAACTTTGTGACATTGATGAGTCTGGATCGCGGCGGTACAATGTAATTGTGTTGATGGGTACTAATGGGTATCTGCGTCTTCCATTGAATCTCGTCATGAGAAAAGGTTGTTGTTTATTTCATAGTATCCATATTTTACTAGTACCATGCGTTTCGTGCGATCCACAGGATATCTTAAGAGGCGATTGGAAACATTTCTTAATAAATCTATATAAGATAATGCTGTATAGCCTTTAGTCCGTCTTTTGTATCAGACATTTTTTCATAATGTGGTTAATAAAGAATAAATAAATGTGTGACTGCTGGAAACATATTATACAGGGTGAAATCGAAATAGTTAGCGGCAAGTAATACTAAAATCTACTCATGCTATAGAATATAATATAACAAATTTTTGAATCAAAATGTCATTAGACGATCGATAGTCGATGGGTGACAGGCATTTATTGCAAGAATCTTGTTCTCTACTAATCTATTGAATATAACAAAAAATCTATTGTTAAAAATCCTTGTATATATAACAAGTAAATTAAGCTTTGCATCAATATGGTCTTTATGCTGCCTATAGTCAAAGAAGAAGTTAAACGGTTAAAACTCAAATTTATTTATGTCATTACAGCCAATAGCGTTCCTTTTAATTCTTTAGGTACAATAGTATATTGGGTTTTGCCAGTTTCTCATTTCATTAGATTGCATAAATTCAGTTAATATTTATCTAATGAGGATGTTGTGTTATCTTTACTTTGAAACAAGTATCTTGAATACGTGAAATATTTATTTATTTGCAGTTATTAACTGTGGAACGTTTCAGCGTACGTTTATTACGTTTTTCACTCCAAAATTTAATAGTCACGTCACTCATTACGTTTTCATATACATTCATACAACATATATACCATTACGATTACGTTATTTGCAGATGTATGAGTAAAGTCTGTGTTCGAATATATATTTTAGTGATTCAGGAAGATCATTCAAGGATTGCCAGTTCTGAATTGTGCCGCCAAGCTGTTCACTATCTCCCGCATAATATGTAGCATACAAATCTATTGTAAGAAATGTTTTTACTTAAAACAAAAATAATCTCGTTTAAATAAGAACAAGACAGCAGCGCTTATTATCTTGTTTTTTTTTTCATATCAACCGTTTGATTTGTTTGTCAAATATCTAGGAAGCTGGTTACTCATACTAAAGAGATGTTGTGTCATATTTTGAATGAATATTCGTAGACATGAATCTTCTTTATAAACTCCAAGGTCGCGTGTATATTATATTTATATTGCCTTGATGTGTTACTATAATTGTCACATATTTTTCACCACATCTGCCCTTCATACGCTTTTTGTTTTTACCCAATGGTTAGCTGGTAGAGAATGCCATATGGCATTAGGCTCGCCATTTGTACAACATTTTATTGTGCAATAAAGAATAAATGAATAAATAACGACAGATTTCATAGTTTCCGTCTGACTAAGTACACAGAAGATCAATACATAAAAATGAAACAATAGGATGGAAAAAAGGGCAAAACAGTTTAATAGATCGCCATGAATGAATGATTCTAATTGAGATACTCTATAGGTGAGACAGAAAAAACATCTGTTACTTGAAATTCAGCAATATCATTTATGAATGACATTAAAGAACTTTCCCAAGGAAGAAAATAAATTCATATAAATACGAAAATAAATTTAAAGAAAATGCCTGATCATGCGTAACAGAATGATTAGATCGTGAACTCAAAGTTGTTTTCATAGAATAATAAAATTGTAAGAAATTATTTTAATAGTGTTTATATAGAGATACTAGTTTTTAACCCCGTCTGCATTCGTATAACCAGATTATGTTGATTGTTCGGGCTAAAAAGTAACCTAAAGTGTGTTCCTCCTTCATGCCTAATATTGTATATCAAATTCAATGACGATTGGATGAGCCGTTAATGTGCAAAAACGTTGAAAACAAACAAAATAATTATTCCATTTGTAAGATTAATAAGGATATTTTGTTAGCAAAATTTATACGGTATAATGCATATCTAATGCAAGACTGAAGGTTGTTATAATTTAACTAAGTCGATAAAAAATAAGCAGCTTATACAAAACTTCTGTGATACCAATCTATCTTGTTTCGAATTATTGATATTTGAATATAAAAGATTTTTATAACTTGTGTCATAATAAAATTGTATAAAAAAAGTATATTAAATAGATATGTATAAGTATATATTAAAAGGTAGTGTTTCCCGGCATAGAATAGACCATCCCTTCCTTTCCTGTGAATGTCGTAAGAAGCGACTAAGGGAGGGCAAGGGATGGGCAGCAGCGTCCCTCTTAAAACATCTCTAAAGCTTAACTGTGGTTGCCAATCCGCCTACTAAGCATGGCAACTACTAACAAACCCCCCAATGGAGAGGCTAATGTTCAGCAGTGGATAGTTAAAAGCTAATATGATGATGATATATAAAATATAATTCTAGTATTTATGTTATGTAATTCGGGCACGTACTCTTATTCTATATTGTAAGTAAAGAAAAATGCTTTACTATATTATAAGTATATAAAACAATTTGATTTTAAATTTACAATGGTGTACCTATAAGGGTTCTTTATAAGTAAAACTTTTCTTTACCTAGCAAACCTTTTTCTATGAAATAAAATGTTATACAAAACTGAAAGTTCTTAAATGTAAATATACATAAATATTTTGTAATAATCCATTCAAATTTATACTTTTTTTTATCAATATTTTACTAAATCTGAATCTTGTATAATATTTTATTGATCTCTAATATCTTATAATATTTACGTATCTATCTATGGGAAGAATTAATTTGGTATCCATCAATGTTCAGTGTCGACGATCGTCTACGTCCTAACAACAATTACTGTCCGCCGTTTATCTAAATGATGCATTGTTTCATTAATGTCATACTTAATTTTGTATGTTTACTTGAACGAAAATAGTTAAGCAAATCTTTAATCATCTGTAAAAGGCGAGCGATGTATCGTCAAAGCTATGGAGTTGGTAATGTCATGGACTGGGATGATCATCAAGTTGATTAGAGGGATTAAAACCCCTACTGTATATGAATCATAATAGGATTTACTATGTATTTTATAACTCGCCAATATAAATGGACGCTCTCAACGCGAGACGCCTAAAGGTAGGTTATGCAAAACAATTTGTATTATGACTTCTGTAAAGTGGGCTAGTGAGTTGTAAGTTTGATTATCATTTCCAACAATAAAAAAAAGTGTATTAAAAAATAAAAGAACTATTTAATATAATATAATTTATTTTCTATTATAAAAGAACAATGAAAGTAAAACATTTTGTGAAGTACACGCCATTTATATTATTTATAGTTTTACTATAGAAACAAGCCCACCCTTGCTAACAAGTTCTTAAACTAATCACTGTATCTTTTGTTCAAGTGCAATAAAGAATATATATATATAGTTTTTATATTGTTATTTACCAAATTCGAAATTGGCACGCATCTCTATCGTTTCCTTTTGGCATCCCTTTACGGCCTAAGTTCCTTTCACCAATATACATATATTTTCAATTTCTATTCCTGATTTTCTTTGCCACCCACATATTCCATTTATGAAAGTTAAACTTACCTACAGACCTATTTTGTGTTTTTATATTTTTTGAATTTAGAATACATTGAAAAAGAAAAAATACAAAATAATAAATCGAATAAGTTTATTACATGTCTGAAGTTTTAATGAATAACGAAGATAGATTACTATTCGTACCTGCTAGCTTATTCATAAATAAGTTTTCATTTCAGTAAATATAATATACTAATCTACAGAGTAATATTATTTAATCGGCCAACTATTAACAATACACGTGTGATCTGTGACTATTTTTTTAATTGTAGTTAAAGTTATGACAATATTATAACTTAAATAACAAATTGTATGAAATAAGTATTTCAGGATAAAATAAAAGTTTACATGTTCAAACATTTCAGTAATATTATTTCCTTAGGTATTTAATATATAAATTATGGACTTCATAAATTAAGTATATTTGAATCAATAATTGGCTATCTATTATTAAAAATGTCTCAATTATTGCTGTAATTTGTGAAACTGTATGCAATAAAAAATAAATAAATAAATATTCCTTTCATGTTTCATATTACCTATGAGCTATCTATACTAGGTGTACGTGGTTTATCACATTTGACCGACAGGTATTATCAATTATGCATTGGTTTGTTGACGGTATTGCATTTATGGATATTTATGTATATATATATATACAACTATATCACTTAGGAAAACGGTATATAACTCAGAATGTATTCATTGATACAAATATTCGAAGTTTTGCTGTAAGAAATATGAATAGGTATAGGTAGAATAAATATTTAATATTTTCGTTATTTAATTTGTTTTGATGTTTCGTTTAATATTAAAAGATAAGTTATTAATTTTCCACATTCAGTGAAAATTTTGTAATTGGTATCATAGCTTTATGTAATTCTAATGAAATTTTTTCAAAGTGTACAGCGATAAAAAAATTTCTGACAACAATTATCTGAAGTAATAGATTTTTTATTATTTTATACTATTCAGTTATGATATATACTATATTATACTTAAACCTAATCAATATAAATATTTGTGGGTTTGGGGCAGTGATATTTCTAGTAACTATTGTTAGAAACCACACATTTTAATATCAGAATAAATTCATCATCGTCCATATTCCAATCATTATCTGCCTATTGTTGAACATAGACCTCCCCTACAGACTGCCATAAGGAACGGTCGTAAGCCATCTGTATCACAAAAAATTGCTTCATGATTTAGTTGTGATGTCATAATTTAAAAATATTATCAAAGATTAGGCAACCAAAACAACTAATATTAATTATTTATTAGTACAATAGTAATTACAGATATAGAAGCGTATAAAATTTGCGCAGGTCGGATTACCAATCTATTGTCCCGTAAACAACTATTGAAATACATTGCAAATATTTTAATTTATATGAAAATTGTGTTGGTTACTTTTATTTATTACTTACTTTTATTTAAATTTATTACATTACTTTTATTTAATATTATACAAACTGTTTTAACTACAAATTCCTTATTATCTAATGCTGCTTATTGTCAATTTTCTAAACTTTTTTTGATATAAATTTTACATCAACATACAAATTTAGAAAAAATAAATATATTGCACCTAATTTAAGACTAAAAAATGATACGCAAAGCAGAACAGTAGTAGTAGATGCCGAGGCATTTATTTATAACAATATCTACGCTTGGTAGATATGGTAACCATATCTTAGTATATTCTATGAATTCTAAAACGTGATCAATTGTCATAAAAATTGAGTGGCAGGCATGTTACTACAGATTTCCAAGCAATTATCTATTTCACAGATAACTATGAATAACAATAGTTATTGTCTAAGTGCAAAATCAGCTTAGTGGACAAATTTTCGGCGACAATAATTTTTGACACACAGGAAACTTGTTTGACAAGTATTTAGTCTTCAATAAGTTCACTTTAGAAGTGTACAGTTTAGAAAAAGTCACGAGTGGACATCCTTTCATTCATTGTTTTACAAAAACATGAATGAATAGGTTGGCATTATCTTTGGAAATTTACTGTTTGCGGTTATAGTTAATCGCGTAGGCAAGTATTGAAACATATATATGTTGTTGTTTACCAAAGTAATTTTTTTATATTTATATTCAATAAAAAATTAATTAACTGTTTTAAATTTAAGTTAAGAATAGTAAAGAAGTACTATTGCATAATAACTATTACGTATTGTAATAATTTATGTCGACTTTATTCGAGTTTTTAAATACGGGGTTTAGAAGTATTAACATATTTAAAAAAAAAGTAGCAAACGCAGTACTCACCCATTGTGGAAAAACGATTTCACTCTTTCACTTTTAAAATAAAAACTCCGCAATGAGATCACGTGTACGAGATATTATGTGGTCGGGCGTATTATCGATATAACATCGTCACCCTACTACAACACTGCAAGGGAAGATGCGCGTACACAAACCGTGCCGCGAGTTCGTCGCGTGCGCAGCGGTCGCCTAAGGATGCCGCGTGCTGCCTAGAAAGGCTTCTGTGCGAATGTCGACTAGCTACCGCGTCTCGCTGAAGATTCCTTCGATACGAGATAACGATAAGGCCACTCGCGATCACTCATCTCGCCTTATCTAGACGGCAGTTACGGTGACCATCGATCTCCCGTCTTGACTTTTCAGCGGTTGATAAGTATTGCTTATTTTATATAATGCTTACGTAAGCTCATTACGAGAGCAAGCACCCAAAGTTTCAATGTCGAAGGTAAACAAAGAGGCATGTTTAAAGTTCTTGACGTTGATGTAATAAATACTTGAATACATTCATTAGATAGCGAGGGTATGAATTATTAATGAGTTCAGTGCTTTAACGGATTTCGTCGTTCACAGAGGAACCCTGAAACAAGCGGAATACGTCAATTTTCCTCCGAAATACGCCTGAATTGTAAACTTCTTCCGTTTGTTAGCAAAATTGGATCTGCAAGTATCTAATAAAATTCCGTCAGATTTTACAGACGCACCGAAGTTTCCACTAGAATGACTATTCTATTGTGCTTATAAAATTCACGGTTTAGGGTGAGAGTATTATTTTCCTATTTATTACATATTTAACGCATTGTTATTCAGTAGGTCAATGTGAACATAACAATTATATGTATAAAAAAAGGTGCGCAACATAGGGGTATCATGGCCCACATTAAAACGACGGACGTTAGAAGTGATAAAAATTGTTATTTAGTCATATAGACGTGGTAGAATGAGTATTTAAATGAAAATGTAAAGCCATCATTTAAGATTTTGTTTCCAGAATAAAAATTCAGCCGAGATAAAAATTAGTATGGGACCAATACGGAAGTAAGCCGTATCGATTGCAATAAAATTTAAGAATTGACGAAGATATCGGGTTTCGCGTTTACTTATTGTTTGTTAGACAAATCTTGGAAACCAAATACGCATTTAATTTTTTCATTATTTCAGTACAAGTAGTACACGTTTTTACTTTCTGTCAGTTATTATATTTGCCTTATGGCTCCGGTATAAAGTAGGCCACCCCTTCCTTTCCAATGGGTGTCGTAAGAAGCGACTAAGGGAACTTAATATTCGAGAAATAAGTAGCAGCATACCTCTTAAAATATCACTGAAGTCTAACTGCGGTTGCCAACCCATCTAATAAACATGGTAACTACTGGAAAACCCAGAAAACTGTCTCATTCGTGTTTCAACCGTGAAACAATTGTGTTTGCATGGCTATGTTTCAGTTTGAAGGGTGGGATATGGCGTGAATTTACAGGATACAGAGGAATAACACCTAAGTCCTCAGGAATGGCAACACATGGGGGGTATCATGGGCGAAACAGTATACTCTATTATGTCTATGGTACTGCTCAGTCTGTAGGCGACGGTTACCACTTTAAATCAGGTGGGCGGGTAGCTAATCGCAATAAAGTTTTTAGTGAGGTTTTAGAAGAGATGCTGCTAACCATCCCTCAACCGTTAATTTCCCTTAGTCACCTCTTACAACATCCAGGGAAAAGGAAGGGGCAGCGACCGACTGGCCATATGGCCAGTCCGTATGTATAGTCGACTATATAGTCGAGGTGGCATTTGCCAACCGGGCCCCAGCTTGCGTGGGCCCTATACGGGCCTCGCTTGCGAGGCTTGCGGTGCCGCTACCAACTGGTGCAACTACCATCACGTAGTCTCGGGCCCCGGGCTTGTGGTCAGCCACCGGGGCTAGTCCGACTCTAGGAAGGGGTGGCCCATTCTATGCCAAAAACACGTTGCAAAAATTTCAATTACCTGTATAGAATTTACATTCAAAGTAGAATAGATGTTGAATTGAAATACTGAATTTAACATTCCAAAAGGACTAGATTAGTGTACTTCTAATTGTGATACAATACGAGTAACTACCTACTACCGGTTGGAAAATTTTCAAATACGAGTAGCTTTTTTGAACCTCATTGTGAATGACGTAAGCGTTATGATTAATTCAGTCATTCTCATATTAAGATTTCTTAGTATAGAGTAAACATTTCAGCTCTTTTTATGTGTGATGTTTCAGTGAAATGATAATTCAGTTAAAATATGAAAGTGAGTTTAATTATTTACTTATTTATTCTTTATTGACCACATTGTTAGTTTAGCACTTTTATGGATTCCTTAAAATTAATTAAGACTCATTAAATTTCGTTTAAGTGTAATATCTAGAATGGAGAAGAACATAGGCCACTTTTAATCTTATATTACTAATGTATCCAGGTTATGTTAACGAAGTTGCGAACATAAACAATTTTACAATAAAAAGCAGAAACAATTCAAACTTCTTTTTTTCATACAAATATAAACTAACTAAGGTAGGTGTGTTCGTAACATTGTTTGCATGATGGTATGCCAATGCCATTTCATTATAATAGTATAATTCGTAAAGGTGCCAATAGGTAACAAATAAATTCACTTTCATACTAGTAAAAAAGTCTTGAAAAATAATGGAGAGAAATGTTTGTTTCTTTAACAACGTCTTGGTAATTACAGGTTCGAGATGGATTGGGATCAAATTCTTTTTAAACTTAATCATATTGATCAAATCTTCAGTATCTTGTTACTTTGTATCGATAAAAGAATATTATTTTGCAAATTTTCTTTGTTGGATACATAAGAAGATTGTTTTTAAGTGGTAAGCGTAACCGTTCTTACCCGAGGGACTATTCCGTGGTTCACTTCTGAGACCACGTTTAATGAGCCATTTCTTAAAGCGATTTATTTTTCATCCGCCAACAAAAGGAGGACCTATTTATTGTTTGTATTTATGAGATTTAAGAATAATTATAATAATATTATTTGTAAATCAGTTAGTGTAACTATGAAATTTCAATTCATTGCTTCTAATTATGCGCAAATAAATTACTCTTAAAAAAAGATATGTATTTCAATCAACGTGCCGATATCAAAAACTTCTATATATTTATCTTCATAACAGTAAACCGTCAGATATAGTTATTAAGCTACATAAAAATATTCTGTAATTGGACGACAAGAATATGCAAGAAGGTCAATTGACTTTGGTTTTTGTAACACTGTCATGTAAGTACACTCGTTTGGGCATGTGTAGCACCTTTACTTTTCCTCGCTATCTGTGTACCGAAAACACTTTTTGTATGCAAATAACGTTCATAGTTAAGGTCGGTGTCGATTGTCGATACCTAAGTTGAATTCACCAAGAGTAGTCCTTCAATCGTACCACAGACTAAACTTTGATTTAAAAGGTTAATACGTGTTTTAAATTTGATTAGATGTGAGATTTGTTTACTTCCAGTTATGCCCGTGATTACGTCTCCGTGGAAGTTTTGTCTGCAAAAAGTTAGTTTTTGTAAAGTAAATGCCTCAGTAAGATAAAGACATCAAGAATGATCCAAGGCATCTTACTACATACAATTTCTGTACAAAAAAGTCTAAACACAGAGTCCTCTATTTGAGTTAGGGCAATATTTGAGAAGCATTACATGCATCAGGTGAGCTAAATGTTTGTTTAAGCGAGTAAGCATAGTCAGCATTTTAGAAATACGTCAATGCTTATTTTAGGTAGATACTATCGTAGTATTATATTATATATTATATTAGTGCTTTAGGATAATTTAGTTTATTTATTATTTCATAAATCAATATATTTGCAAAATCGAAAGTATACTCTGTTATGTCCATGGTACTGTTCATGTCTATGGGCGACGATTATCACTTTCCATCATATGGGCCATCGGCTTGTTTGCTATTCTAAGTTGCATAATAAAAGGCTTTTGCCACTTTAATTTAATATGTTTTTTATTATTTTTAATTTAATTTAAAAGAAAGAATTTTAAGTTGTCTACCCCATGTAGATATGAGGTAATAATCAAAACACGTAATAATAAGAGGGCCACGTGAGATCGCGAGTCGAATATACAAAACGAGATAAGGAAACAATATAGGTGTATAATGGACCTCGACCTCTTTGATGGGACCAGTTACAACACACTAACAGTTTACCATAAGTACTTTCTCACCTGTCCTATACATTATATAGGGAACAATCTGACGAAAACTTTACTGCAGCACCCAAAAATAATAGTAGATTTTAAGGAACTTACTAGTTCGTTATACTTACATTTTTAAGTTCATGTCTATGGAAACCCAATTCACTGTCCGTATTAGAATATTTACATAAGTTTTTAAAAAAAATTAATAATTAAATCTTCTTTTAATCTTTTTGTATGAATTTGCGTTGATTCTTTAATCTTTTAAATGCTATAAGAATCACTTCATTGGTATATACATATATGTAATATATATCTCGACATTGTAACTACTTTAACATTACAATCTAAGGAAGACTGTATTATTCAAAATGCTCGTGAAACGTGAATGTAAATTTAATCGCTCGTAGCAACAAAATTACTTGACGGATTTTGATTGATGTATGAGGTATTCCTAGTATTATCGCGAATGTTGTAGGAAAATGGAAACAAATTATAAAATAATCATAAAAAAATATAATAAAGCTCTGGGTTCGTGGGGCCCGGAGGCCATGAATCTTTTCAAAGAGATTTCACGCCGGCTGCTGGAAACCTCTGGTGACCAGAAGGCTGGCCTATACTTTGATCAACGCATTTCTATTGCTATTCAGCGTGGAAATGCAGCAAGTATCCTAGGCACCCTACCAGCTGGCAGTGATCTCAAAGAATTTTTTTATCTTTAAATATATATATATATATATTTTTTTTTTAATTAATAAAGCTCATGTTGCGTTAAGAGCATTCATAATTTTAGCTTAACAAAATATGGCAACATTCCAATTATCCGTCAATTTTAAAGAATGATTTTATAATTTTCAATGTTTTTAATTAATTATTTAAAAAGTGCTCCGACAGCGAACTAAAACATTAACAGTACAATAATATACTTATTAATAATGCCGTTGAAAAAATGGATTTTGATGGCATAAAAGTTTTTTTTTCGAAAAATTCGAAAATAAAATATAAAGTAGGTGCATAGTTTTTAGTCGTAGATTTATATCTATC